GAAATCTTCCATTACTCATTACATGACCATTACTTAAAATTTAATGATCAGATTCTATTACCTTTCCCCATTACTGCAAAGTTATATGACTCTAGCATTAATATTGACTGTAATATAATCGTTTGAATTGAATGTTTTGAAACTACGTACTGTCCTATTAATTGGTACTGATTTTATTCAGAAAGAAGCAATTAGATTGGTTGTGATGGGACACAATAACTTTGATTCTAATTGAGTGAGAGTGTTGAAACTTCGCGTATCGTTTCACTATGTCAAAATCGTGGCCCAAATCTGTCGGGCATTTAAGCACCCCCCCCCCCTTCCCCGCACACACACCTAATTTAACTTCCATCGTGCCCGGCCGCCTATTCCCGTCTGCGTTAGTCCAGTGGGGGCAGAACTGTAGGGAGTTCCGATGGGGCTTATACTGGGTTTTATACAACCTCAAAACAACAAATTCTGACGTCGTGACAACTTTTCGCCAACCACCACACAACGTTGAAAAACAACAAATTCTGACGTCGTGACAACTTTTCGTCAACCACCACACAACGTTGTGACAATGTTGCTTGAACGTCCGTACAGCGTTGTCACAACTTTTCGTCAACCACCACACAACGTTGTGACAATGTTGCTTTGACGTCCGTACAACGTTGTCACAACTTTTCGTCAACCACCACTCAACGTTGTGACAATGTTGCTTTGACGTCCGTACAACGTTGTCACAACTTTTCGTCAACCACCACACAACGTTGTGACAATGTTGCTTTGACGTCCGTACAACGTTGTCACAACGTAAGAGTTTGTTGCAAAACAACCTACAGCTGACCTATTTCAGACGTTGTGATACAACCCCTGAACAACGTTGTCACAACGTTGTGTGCCCGCTGGGATACGGCTTTGATGGGGTCAACATTGTAAACAATAGGTTTATCTTCAGCATTGCGTCCGTTGCACCCATAAAGATTATATAATTCGTACAGTCCCAACATGTTCTCTCTTTTTCCAATGATTTTTCACAAAAATAACATCTACAACTCATAGAATTGACGTTGTCTTCAATGACAGCGTCTGCGAGTGTTGTTCATAGAGGCCGCCATTTTGCACTATTTTGTGCGTCGGTCGGGTCTATCTATTTCAGATATACACAATCAATTCTGTTGATGTTTTAGCGTTGGGATTGACTAATAGTTAATGTGTTTCAGTTCTAAAACAAATATTTTAAACTTTAACGCAAATTTAAAAAATAGCCAAATTCTGGCTGGGATTACTGAGCAAAATGGCCATTCACTGTTTACGTGCGAAAAAAAAGCTAGCCACCAATTAATTTTCGTACGCAATTAGGGCGTTTAACTCTATTCTGTCGTACGTTCAAATAAACAAAAATGACTCGAAACACACACAGTAATGTAATATGAATATATATAAACTGATTTACATTAATTTGTGTTCTTTGTGTTGCTGAATATTAAATGGAGGTCCCGTGTTCGATTCCTGTGTTGACCGAGAAGGTTCATCGGGAATTTCCGACGTGGTAACCCCTCATCAGTGGTACAGCCGGCTGAGCCGGGGGCCTGGCAAGGGAGAGTGTATAGTCGCTCGGGTGGTACGGAAACGATAATCGAGGTCCCGTGTACTTATTGACCTGTACATTAAAGAACCCCAGACAGTTTGAATTCGACGGAAGAGTAGGCCGTAGTACCGTTGTCCGGGCAAAATTTCCCTCCCAGCACACTTGTAGGGTTTTTAATATTTTATATCGATGTTAATATATCTTCTACACAGCAGAAACATGGCGTGTATTTACTCGCACTTTAAACAATATACTATGTGTCACACTGACTTTTTAAGTACACAATAAATCCTTTTTAAATGAGCGGTTAAAATTGTTAAGAAAATGGGTCTAACTGAGATAGCGGCACAACGAATCGGTGTCAGACAAACCCCATCCAATCATTTCACTGTCTTGATTCCGGCTTACTGCCTTGCTGAGTCAACAATTTTACTAGCAGATGTTGTAATTCTCTCAGCGATACGTGTGATATAAATGATTCAATGGTTGATATTTCTTGGGGGTTAGGGGGAGGGAAGAGACGGGGTGAGGGTGAGGAGAATGGCCGAATACTTAGCACGTGCAAGCTGCATCATAATGTCTGTCATTGAGTCAACCGATTCCCCGGTTGTACGTGAAAAGGGGTACAGCCGTCTGTCCAACCTCGGGGGTTTTCTCTGGGTCCTCCGACTGCTAAAGACTCCTACGCGCAAGCAAATCGCATATGTCAGTCACGAAATGACCTATAGTTTGTGTCGAGTGGACGTTAGACCCCATTTCTCTCTTTCTCTTTCTGGGGTTAAATACTATGACTTTTCCCGTTCTTTAATTATATTACGCACACTTTATCTAAACCTCACACATGCATTGTGTAAGATTTAGATAAAGAGCCGACAGTTCTCTCTGTAATAGTTTTAAAAAAAGTAGATAATGAATAGGGAATATGTTCCAATAAAATTACTTCATTCTGAGTCTTATTATTGCCGTTAGAAATGAAATGGGGTTTAGCGTCGTACTGTTCTGTACTGACGTTAGAAGAACACTATAGTCTCGATTGGCATTAATACCGTTGTTACCATAATAAACAAAGTCTCATATTTCCATTTTTGAATTAAATCACTGACCAGGAATCGTATTTAAATCTGTTAAAAATCAAAAGCATCCGATGATCTATATCGTTGATTATGGGTTGCCATGTGTATAAATGTCTTATTAATGATTTATGTAACATTACAGAATGCATCTTTACATTAAAGATACGTTGTCTCGAAAGTATTTATTGGGTGGTTATTTCTAATATAAGTATGGCAAATTTTGTATATATGGAAAGTATAGACACCCAACCTTACTAGAAAAATACTGGATTACCCGCAAAACACCCATGGGGCAAGAACTGGGCAAAAATATCAGGGCATCACTAACTGGCAACCTGACTGTTGTCTGCCAGCTTATTGTGTTCTCGCTTGACTGAAGGAGCGGTTGTTAATTCTTGATCAAATGGTTAGGAGGTTTTGGAAACATTGAGGTGTGTCGGTTTAACCTCACTTTCCCCACATCTGATTGTTTTGATAAAGGATTAGGAGGTTACTAGACTGTGGGTGTAGAACTATAGTCTATTCTAATTAATTAGTATCACTGGTGTAAACTTCTCACTTTAATTATTGTTACTGGTGAACACTTCCCACTATCAGTAGATTGGGCAAATTGGTGAAATCAGTTTACTAATAAATTTACATTGTGAGCTGTTTTGATGTAATAATAAATAAAGTACCGCCGCCTTGGTGAGAGAATCGTAGAAGAGAAGCACTTATTAATTACTGGTGCCAAGACACCCATTGAATACCTCAACACTGTTATGAATTTTGTTGGACTGTGAATTGTCATGTTTATCAAACTGTATATAAATATTTATACTATAAAAATGTATTTATTATATTATATATGTGTTAATTTGTATATTATTAAAATTCTGGAAATGGTATAATATAAGAATCCATATTATATATATTTTTTTACATGTAACCTTTTTCACTAATATTATTTAAATCATTTTGTTGAAGTGTCACAAACTTGTTACAGGCTAAACTTTAAACCCCCTTTGTTGATTAATTAGTCATGGCCTGGTGGACCCAGGCTCTAAACCATAGGTGTGGGGAAAGTGAGGTGTCCCCGGTGTGTCGTCAACCTACAAGAAACTTCAATTAAACCACGGAAAAAGAAGTTGACAGAAAACAGTTAAGAATTTACTTAGGCCTCAATATGCATGGTAAATGGACAGTAAGTAATGACAAATACATTCTGAAAAATGGACCCTCCCTCAAAGAAGCAAGGTGACAGACATTGATTGGCATTTAGTAATTGAACATATTAACACGAGGTACAATTTTATGGATACACAATTACTGAGTTTGATACTAAGCGACGTTTCGACGAGGATACTCTCGTCTTTATCAAGCAAATGATACAAATGTGTGAATAGTAGGCAAATATATATAAAGAATATGCAACAAAGATAATAATCAAATACAATTAAAGCTCAACACCTTTGATTAGGGGGCCATTTACAACTAAACTCAGTAATTGTGTATCTATAAAATTGTACCTCGTATTAGTTTATTTATAGCTTGAGGGATCTCCCCGCGAATACAAAGGTTTGAGAGGGATTTGAAGCAAATTTTTGACAAATTAGTTTGGAATATGTTTTTAGTAAAAAATATATCATCAAATCACACAGTTTGTACACAGGAAAGTGTCTTTAAACCAGAACAAAGAAGGTGAAATGAAATTAAGTGGAGTTTAATGTCCTACTTTACTCCGGCAACCCTGCTATTAAAGATGTAGTGTGCTCTGGGGTTAATTTGCCTGGCCAGCAGTGCTGCAGCCTACTGTTATTTCAAGGCTGCTTTTACTTTCACACCGAATATAGGTTTTTCCGCCCATCCAAATGACTAGACAGTGTTCCCTGTCTGGCCCCCCCCCACCCCTGACGAGCTGAAATAAAACCACACCAGGATCTAACCTAGGACCTTCTGTTTAGTGAAACAGCGTTTCACACACTGAGCCACAGTGGATCCCGTATGAATGAACAATTGGACTATCAAATGGTGCAATATGTGGCTATTTTATTTGGTTATCACCACATGCTGAAGGCAGTTAAGAGAGGCCACACTGATTATGAAGCCACATTGATATATGGTCCCCATGATCTGAACATGAACATAGTTAGCAACAACCAAGAACTAAACGAAATGAGGACACTTTCAGAAATGAGAGCACTTTTTCTGAAGGAGGGCACATAGCCACACATTGAATTCGAATTTCCAGTTTCTCCTGATTTATCTTGGCATTTATGAGGGCAGGGTGGGTGGTTGCCTACCCTGGCAGCAAACCTCTGAGTTATTCATCCTTTATAATTAAGTGACGGCTTAACATAATTAAAATAAGCATCTATAATTATTTAAATGTATTAATTGATTAATCAATATTCTGAAAGGCAAAAGAACCTATGGATTCAAGAATCCATGAAGCTGGTACAGCACACATGCGAGTGGCGTTTATAGGAGGGTAAGCCAAGTTTGTATCATGTACAATAAATATAGCACAATCTGTAAATCGGGTGTTCCTTGCTGCATGATACGGTACGGTGGCTGGATATTCATCCAGATTTTGAAGCTTTGGTTCTCGACTGAGAACTTTTCCTCCACCAGCTTTTACCAGTTCCATTAACTGTTCTTTCTCTGGTGTTGGATATTCAAATATACCATGAAAATAGAACTGACAGCCATCAAATAACCCAGGAAGCTAAAATAGAAATTTAATATTTTAAGATAAAGTCTGTTTATGATAAGGAGAAGAGGGAGAAATGGGGTTTAACGCCCACTCGACACAAAGAAGGCCATTTTGGGGCTAACATATGGTTCAATTTTATTTCAATAATTCGCTTGTACGCAGGGGTCTTTAGCAGTGAAAGGGAACCGAAGGACCCAGAGAAAACCCATGAGGTTGCACAGGCGACCCTACTCCTTGTCACGTACAAGCGGGGATTCGAAACCACAGCACTTGACTCAATGACAGACCTTATGATGTCACACGCATGCGTTTAAACCAATAGACCCCCCCCCCTCCCCCCGTGATTCCCCCTTGTCAGTGATGCAGGACGGAGGGCCTGACAAAGACAGCTGTCTAATCGTTCGGATGGGATGAAAAATTGAGGTCCCTTGACAGTTGGAATTTGATATAAGAGTAGGCTGTAGTGCCGCTGTCCGGGCAAAATGTCCTTCATAGCACACTGTATGGCGTATGCCTGTCTTCATTAGCCCAGTTCGGCACAGAACAGTAGGACGTTAAAGCCCATTTCATTTCCCTTTCCCCTTTATGGTTATGGATTCTATTGCTATGGTTTAAGATTACTAACTCATCACCCACTGCTACATTAAATGACATTGTCAAGTTGATATCATAGGTTTAAACTGTTTATTAGTTACTTAAAATTGTTAGTAATCAGCAAACTGTAGTCATTAAGTAGGTTTTATATCACTAAGGTGTTAAAACCATGACTATTGAATGATATACACCACAATTGGTGGTTTGTGTGTTCAATAGTGATGGGTTTTAGAATTAGTCCCACTTTCACACTAGAACTAGTTACATACCTGCTAATTAATGACTTCTGTGGGTAAGTTCTAATCGCTTTTTTATATCTAAACAGTAGCTTAGAATAATGATCAATTGTATAAATTAAAGACCAAAAATTTAATTAGTAAATGGCCTTGGTTCATTAGTCAATGGTATCTGGTTAACAGTGTAGCAAAGAATATTATGGTCCATTGCTTGCCAATGTAATAATATGTTCCAATATAACATTAAACCATATTTATATATAGTCCTACCTGCTGCTTTCTGTTTAAGCGACCTTTGTAAGCAGCACGTGAATCAGCATTAGTGGAGGTGCCAGGTATCTCAAAAGCTTCTTCTGATACTCTGGAGCCATACTCTATACATGTTGATACCCCTGTTAAAGAAACCAGGTGGTTAGAATAATTTATTTTTAGCCTTTCATGACATGTTGCCTCAAGTATATCATCTGTTTGACCATCTAAACCTTGAATTTATGGTATTTTTAATCTCCAGTAAATTTCAAATTACTTGTCTAGATCCAAATTGAATAATTAGCCCACAATAAACTGAACAATTAATGTAACGATGTGCCATGGCATGTGTCACTAAAATATCAAATTTTTTTCACCGCTTAATCCATGCCGATTAATATGTACTCACACAGATTGATTGATTAATTAACATTTAATTAAGAAAATAAAATAAAAATTCGACCATTCAATTTTCTTGGACAACAACTTGGCGACGGACTTACTGCATAGTGATCAGTATAGATCAATAAGAGTTCAATTAAACCATTATTAGACTGATATTCCTACTAGAGGTTCACTATATTGTAGTTTACAAGCAATAGGATGGTGCATCGGGACTTTAATTATTACAGAGAGTTATATCATGTCAACACTAATCTATATAATGTGACTTGCAAATTGTGTTTCAACAAGTGAAAGTCTCTAAACGCACGTGTTGGAGAAGAACAAGACTTTATCCAGAATGATGATACAAGATTTATAGATGTAGAATATGACACAGATGATTTTGACATAAACAGAAATCGAAAGACAAGGTAGTTAACAGCTTTGGAAGATCGCTTTTATGGATTTGTAAATCTTTTGATATCCACATGCTAAACGGACGTGCACCCAATGATCAAGATGGAAATTTTACATTTGTTTCCCATGTCGGAAAAAGTGTAAATGATTATATAATAGCATCCACATCCCTGTATAACAATATAACTGGCTTTGAGATTGCAGACTATGATACCTCTGACCACTTCCCCTTATGCTGCTCTGTGAAACTTATGGCAATGAAGCATCGAAACCATGGCACAGGCTTAAATGGAAAGCTGATCAAGCAGATAATTTTGTGAATAATGTTAAAAAGTATTTGAATGCTGACCTGTATGTTTCCTTTCTAGAATGTAAAGATAACGGGGATACCAATGGTATGGTTATATTATTACATGAAGCCATATCTAATGCTGCTAAACACAGTGGAATGATGATATGTAGAAATCCAGTAAAACTTCACACCACAGAGAAACAACCAATATGGTGGGATAATGAATGTAATTTCAGTAAAAACAACAAATATATGTTACTAAACAGATGGAGATTGTCAAATACAGATGATGACTTAGCTAATTACAAAAAAGCAAGGAACAAGTTCAAAATTCTATGTAACATGAAGAAAGAAAACAAAGAAATAAAAGATGATCTGTCACAGATATTACCTATTAATACCAGATACTGTACAACTATGGAGAAGTTTGAAGAGATATAGAGGAACCAAAACTACAAGCAGTATTTCTCCAGATGATTGGTATACATACTTCAATGGTTTGTACAATACGAAATATGAACATGATCCAGAGTTCACAGAATACGTCGCTAGATGTGTTGAAGATTGTGAAGTTGATTGTGATATTAACAAGAATGAAGAGATGGATGGTTGTATTTTAGATGAACCGATTAATGTTAATGAGATAGAAAATGCCATTAAATAGTCTACCCAGTGGAAAAGCCCCAGGTCCAGATGGAATTCTGAATGAGCACGTAAGGCACTCTATGCTCCTTTTACTCCCACTTCTAACCACACTGTTCAACACAATCTTACAGAGTGGCAATTATCCAGAATTGTTGTGTAAAGCCGTCATTGTTCCATTACATAAGCAGGGAGAGAAGACTGATCCTGGAAACTACAGAGGGATTTCTTTATTATCAGTCATAGGGAAAGTATTCACTAAAATCCTAAACACCCGTCTGTCTGAAATGTGTGAAGCCGAGGATATATTATATGAGGAACAGTCAGGTTATAGAAAAGGATATAGTACCTCTGATAATATTTTCTGTTTATACGCTCTGGTTCAAAAATACCTCACACGTAAAAAAGGTTGTTTCTATTGCTTATATGTTGATTTTTCGAAAGCATACGACTGTATTTCACACTGTCATCTACGCTATATTCTGTTAAAAAATGGTATGAAGGGCAGATTTTTCTGTGTAATAACCTCCATGTATTCTCAACTTAAATCATGTGTCCAAACTGATAAGTTACTGTTGTCAGATTATTTTAATTGTAGCATGGGAACAAGACAGGGCTGCATGCTAAGCCCGATATTTTTTACTTTATTTCTGAACGAGTTACTAGAAATGTTAAATCTGAATAACTGTGTAGGAACCTATGTAAATGAATCTGTGGAAAACATTTCAGCACTATGTTATGCAGATGATATAGCGTCTGTGTCAGACACTGTCGGGAGATTACAAAAAGAAATAAATTGTATTAGTGAATTCTGTATAAAATATGGCATGAAAATTAATTTATCTAAGACCAAAATTATTGTTTTTAGAAGAGGTGGCATTATAAAGCAGTATGAGAAATGGTTCTATCAAGGGGAGGTAATCGAGTCAGTATCTGCTTATAAATATCTTGGTGTATTCTTTACACCAAAACTTTCGTGGAGCAAATGTTGTAACCACTTAGCCCAGCAAGGAGAGAAGGCAATGAATATGCTATATGCTTTTTGTATAAATGAAAAACTCAGTATACTGAATTCATTATTTCTTTTTGATAGAATGGTAATACCTGTCCTAACATATGGGTCAGATGTATGGGGATATGAAACATATCAATGCATAGAAGCTGTCCATTTAAAGTTTTGTAGAAGACTCTTGTCACTTAATTCAAATGTACCTAAACTATCTATCTATGGTGAACTTGGTAGAAACCCTATACATGTTTTACATAAATATAATATGATCAAATATTGGCTTAAGATATGTTTTATGCCTTCAGATAGATATCCCAAGGCCTGTTATGACATGCTCTATAAATTACATTGCTCTGGTAGACAAACATGGGTATCACATGTCAAATCTTGTTTAGATAATTTAGGCCTTAGCTATGCTTGGATTTCACAAAGTGTAACAGATGTAACTATATTTCTGAAAACTTTAAAACAGAGACTCAATGATACCTGGTATCAGTAATGGCATGAAAACTTACAAAGCTGTGAAAAACTTTGCCTCTATAAAAACTACAAGTTAAGCCTGTTCTGTGAACCCTATATATTACGCACACTAAGTAAAAGTCATAGAAACATTATTGCAAGGTTTAGATGTTGCTGTCACAAACTAGCAATTGAAACAGGTCGATGGCAAAATGTTGATAGAGAGAAAAGAATATGTCTATATTGTAATAACACTTTTAAAAATAGTATTATAGAGAATGAAATTCACTTTATATTTGAATGTCCACTTTATTCTAGTCTTAGAAAAAGGTATGATATTAAACAAAAGTTTTATAATTGTATGACGTCATATATTCAAATCATAAATAACCCATCTAGTAATTTAGCTGAATACATTGATATGGGTATGAGACTAAGGAAAAAGTATTTAGATAATTTACTCTAAATCACTTAGAAGTATGAAAAGCTACTAAATCAAATACAACCCCTATGTTATCAGCGATTTATGCACTTTATTATATGATTGTATGTAACTATGTTATAATCATTATACTTATAACCATGTATATTGAATAATATCACGTACTTTGGGCTGAAGGCCTGCTACTGTCATTTAAATAAAAAAAAAAAAAAAAAAAAAGTCTCTAAAATATCATATATGAGCCAAAAATCAAAATAAAAAAAAGATTAATTCCATATTTGAGCCAAGACATATTTTTATATTATCTAATTTTTTCATACAAAATCACAGTGTTAGGCGAATAATAAAATATACTTACAAGCCATGTTAACGACCCATGTACCAGCCAGGATCGCATGTAAATATTTGATTGTTCTAGGACACAAACCATCTTTATTACATGATGTTATAACATGTGTAACTGTAAAAAAACCCAACAAAACCAACACATTATTAGCATCTGTTGTATAAAAAAAAAAGTAAGAGAAACATCTTTGCTAATGTCAAAACATGATCACATATTATCCAAAAATTTTATTATCCAAACAATTCCAGCATGTTCTGACACCCAGTTAAGAGTATGGATCTGAAACCCAGTTACAGTATGGATCTGAACCCAGTCAGAGTGAGTATCCAACAACAAGTAAGAGTAAGGATCTGAAACCCAGTTAGAGCGAATATCTGACACTAAGTTAGACCGAGAATCAAACATGCAACCCTGAGGAGATCAACATATACCCCTAAATGCTATACAGTGCTGAAAATAGTCACCTCAATATATAGTATTAATTAATTTTTAAACATGCATTACGCAAGAGCTAAATCTACCTATTGCAGGTCTTTCTTTAGGCCTGAAATGTTTTCTAAAGTATTAATTAGACATTAATTAACTTATCCAGGCCTTAATCAACTCTCGATGGCATCAGATTTCTCCGATATTAAATAGATTAGAATGGTTCAGCGATACATTGATTTAATCAAATATGGAGGACCGAGACTTAGCTTCGATCAACCAGTACGGTGGTTGAAATTATTGCACACGTCTGTCAAACCTTCAAAGGCTAATATCTTCGCTTGCAATAGAGTAATTTGAATGAAATTTTCAAATTATTCATTTTACATCATCTACTTTCGAACTATTATAGCAAGAATGGCTAGTTCTTTATCTAAATCTTACATAATGTATCTTTAACCATCAAACAGTGTAACTAACCTTCAGGACAAAACTCCTCAACAACCCGTGCTTGTAAAACAGAAGCACATTTCTGAATCTGTATTTTTTCATCTCTTGATAAAGCTGTTCCCAAGAAACACAGTAAACTAAATTCATCATTCTCATCCATCTGTTATGATTAAGTAAACAATAAATGCTTATGGAAACTTATAATTTCAGGATTCTGATTTTTTATTGGCGAAGATGATCCAGAAAACTAGGATGTTAAATCTTGTTTCATTTCATTTAGCCACGATGGCCCAGTGAGTAAAAACACTGGCTCGCTAACTTGGAGGTCCCTTGTCCCTTGTGATTCGGATGGTACGAAAACATTGATAGTTAGAATTTAAAGTGGCTTAAATTAAATCATACTGTTCTGCTCCAACCGGGCAAATGAAAATGGGCATACCCCATACATTGTGCTATAATGATTAGAGCTATTCCTTGCAATATGATAAAGTTTGATAATGTATTGTAAACTGCTGTACCTGTTCAGCACTGTTATGAATGACTTGTGAATCTAAAGGTGTTTCTAAAGCAGTCTTCAGTTGATCTGTTACAGCTATATCTTTTGGTGTTAATCCATGAATATTCCTATAAAAATAACAAAACACCATTTTACTAAAACATGAATATTCCTATAAAAATTCAAAAATGTAATTATTCTTATCAATATGTGACTCTTAACAAATACATTTATTTTGAATGAATCATTTAAAATAATTTAACATGATTCTAAATTACATGTTACTGGTTACAAAACAGGCCAGCTTATAAATAAAAGTCCCCCCAAAAATATGCTAAAATGGAAATACTGAATGGACAAAAACAAAACTAGTTTTTAATGCATATTATGTGTTGTTTTGTTTTGTGACTGTTGGTAATTTCAACATATATGTAAGTACAATGTAAGAATCCATGACAATATATCCAATCTTATTAATCACTGTTGATCATCTTATTGCTTTGAAGGACAGGGTAAGCATTGTAATGTAATATATTTTTATTGTTATTCAGCACCCTTTTAATAAAATGTTATGAATTATTTACATGGTTACAGATATAAAAAGATGAAGTCATTTGGAATTTAAGTCACAAAATGACAAATCATTCACATAAATCTCGAAAGTAAAACACACCAATGCCAGGGAATAAATCTATGGCAACCAGGAGCTTTTTTGAAGGTTGTTTTTCAAGTTTTCAGGGTCAGGGGCAATAACTATGCATATAACTGGTAGTCGTGTTAGAATTTTGACAAGGTCCCTCCTAAAAATAGTACTAATCAGATCATCTGTGTCTTCTAAAATTGGGGCAATATACCAACAGCAGCTAGAATCTAGTTGTTTTACCTTAAAGACAATGAAGCTCCCTTAGATACTAGTAGTCTCACACAGTCCAGTCTATTGTTATTGATAGCATCATGTAATGGTGTATCGTTATCATGACCAGGTATATTTATCATGGCTCCGTGATTTATCAGTAATTTGGCTATGTCTACATGCCCATGATTCACTGCTTCATGCTGAAATATATCATTTATATACCAAATATTAGAAATTAAAATATGGATGAAAACCAGGGACTTGTCATATCCCTTAAATATGCACAACATGAGAGAGAGAAATGGGGTTTATCATCCACTCGACAGAAACATAATGGTTCAATTTTATTTCAATAATTCGCTAGCCCGTAGGGGTCTTTGGGGGAGGAAACCGGAGGACCAGGGGAAAAGCCAAATGGTTGTACAGGTGACCCTACTCCTTGTCACGTAAAAGGGGGTATACAAAGCCACGCAACTTGACAGACCTTGTGATCAAACGCACACACATTAACCATTCTGTCAGTGGGTGGAGAACCGAGTTAATGTTTTTTAATCTGTTTATTAATATGATTAAAGTTTTTACCAATGGTGTCCATCCAGCATTCTCTCTAACATTAACATTGGTACCATTCTTCAACAGTTCTTCTACTTTCTTATAATCTCCCTGTGAAAAACAAAAATTACTTCTAGAAGACATGTTACACTTGAGCATAAAATCATCTTTTCATCACTCTAAACCTATTTTTATATAAAAGTTGGATATTTGCAAAGTTCAGAGAGAAAAGTCAATTTATAGACTCAAAATCGCCTAAAACAATTGTTCATTCAAAATCGTCTATAATTTGTGTAGATTGTCAATAACGTTTCCTTGAGGTATCTGAATGATAAAATCTTTTGGGAAGGGATAAATACCTTGATAGCAGCCACATGAAGAGGAGTTTCTCCTCTAGCATTTCTTTTCATCTGAGTTTTCGTTGCTGAATTTGCACTTGATCGCGATCTGGGAGTTCTACTTGATTGTGATATTGGGGTGCCACTAGATGCAGATTTTGGTGTCTGCTTGGGTGTTACTTTTGGTATTCGCTTTGGTGTTTCTTTAGGTACTCGCTTTGGTGTTACTTTAGGTATTCGTTTTGGTGTTTCTCCAGGTGTGCACAATTTTAGTGATTCCTTTTCCTGCAGTTGTGGTGTTTTCGAAGACTTTGACCTGCCTGACATTCTCTCTTTAGAACTTTTTGCACTAATGGCAGACGAAGAGCTAGTTGTCATTTTATGGTCAGGTGTTTGAAGGGAAGAAATACTGGGATTATCAGATTTTCTTGATCGACGTAAGTTTTTCTTTTTGACTGCAATTAAGAATTCAGAAACAGCAAAATTAAATTTATATTTTCAATATTTATTGTAAAGTGCACTCAAATACACATGTGAAAGATAGTGCTTTATCAGTGTTGTATAATAATAATAATAATTACTAAATTTATTCAAATCACCTTTTTGACAATGACTAGATTATCTTTATCAAACATATACATTTTGATTAAATCAGTAATTGTTATGCACAGACTCGTCCTGTCTTCAGTAATCCAGTCGGAGAAGAAACATATGATGTTAAACCCCATAATATTCCACAGAATCGCGTCCTGTAATATTTTTGTCATCTACTAAATGCTAGTTAAAGAATATCAAGAACCATAGAGTTTTATTGTGCGGTTTTTTTTTTGTGAAACAACATGCAAAGAAGTGCAAATCTAAACATTGCATACATGTGTAAATAGCAAGCAGATTAGTTGATAACCTTTGACGCAATAGCTTTAAAGAAGAAAGTCAACTAATAGTAAGTGCAGGAGGACCGCACTACACGTAAAACAAAAATCAACAAGATAACCTGCGGACAAGACAGAAAATAGACATTGCACCAAATAAACAAATATCAAATCAAGTGAATGGATCCGGGGGCCAGCCGTAAGCAGCCACTGCACTGTACAGTCCCGGGCCTGTAGTGACACAGACTTCACTCAAAAAAATCAGGAATACAAAAAAGACGTAACAGAAATAATGCGACCAATCTATCAAGGGAAATAACTCCTTCAGTCCTTTAGTAATATAGGAAATCACTGAAGTTTAATAGGCTACTCTCAGTACATAAAATCTAAACAATGCATATAAATTCAGAAAGCACATGGTCTACCTGCTGAACAACTAGTGGTCTTGTCAGTCACCAAGATACTATTATTAATAGTATTACTAATATCTTCATCCTCCATGATCACATCATCATCATCATCACAATCAAAAAACTGAGTCATTGTTGTCTGTAACACTGGATCGTCATATCTTCCTCTCTTGGTCAGCTTTGTATTATTGGAGACCGGTCTTTTCTTTTTCTGATCTTCAGCTGTTCCAGATGTTGTGTCTGATTTACTAAACAACTGATCAAAGGAACTATCTGTGTTCTTGGAATTTTTTGTCTTTCGTGAAGACTGCTGAGTTCCAGGGGAGGGTTGAGGTGTATTCTTTTTACCATTTATCTTAGTAAAGGATGATGGTTCATTATCGGTGAACAATGATTTTGATGATGGTGTACATTCTAAAATATCTTGTAAAGTTTCTCGATCAGTTTTATCTGCAATGGAATAAATCAACTTTACAAGTTCAAAAGGCCAGTTTTCTCATATATTTCAAAAGTCACAAAAATGTACTATTTTAAAGAAACGACTGTTGTTATGGTGTAGCCTATTTCAGCACAATGGGCTGTAAAAAACACCTTCATGAAGAAAGAGAAAACCATAGCTGAATTATTATAACTTTATTTATCTAAGAGTAAGATATATAAAGATGGCTGCATTAAATCAATAGAAATCAATGTAAACTTTAAATTGGCATTAAACATAAATTAGAATCAATTCTTTTGAAGAATTTTGGACCAAAATTTTTATTTTAATAAAAGTACATTTGGTTTTAAAATGGTCGTAAGAACATCCCTGTATAATTTAGTTTCAATATTCTACTCTTTTTCAAATTCAAACTGTCACAGGGTAATTATTACATGTTCTACCATTGTTGACAGGGGACCATGATTTCTAGTTCAATCCAAACAAGATGACTAGTTATCACCATCCCGCGCCCTTGAACTTGTTTGGAAGGCATAAGGAAAAACAACTTCTTGGAATATCAATGGGACTAGTCAGAAGATTCATACTGTGATCATAGTAGCTCGGCAAGGCAAAGTCGCTATTGTCTGTAAGGATTGCACAACAACCTTTGCCTACCTCAATCAGCTGCTGTATGTTAAACATTAAGCTTATACATCAGAAAATAAAATACTTTATCGAACAGATAATAAAATATGCTCCAGAAACAAAATCAGGATGGAAGGCTGGATTTCAGAAAATAAAATAATAGGTAAAATTATTTTAAAGATATCTTGAACAGTCAAATGTGCTCCGGAAACAAAATTGTACACCAAAAACTAAGTCAAATTTGTTTCCATGGAAACACAAAAAATATAAATCCCAGAAATTCCTAAATAGCAAAAGGCACAACTACTGTAATAGGTTGATGTGGGTGCAAAGTTTCAGAAAGATATCTTGAACGGTTTATGAGATATGCTCCGGAAACAAAATTGTACACCAAAAACTAAGTCAAATTTGTTTCCTTGGAAACACAAAAAAATATAAATCCCAGAAATTCCTAAATAGCAAAAGGCACAACTACTGTAATGAGTAGATGTCTGTACAAAGTTTCAAAAAGATATCTTGAACAGTTTATGAGATATGCTCCGGATACAAAATTTTACACCAAAAACTAAGTCAGATTTGTTTCCATGGAAACACAAAATATATAAATCCCAGAAATTGCTAAATAGCAAAAGGCACAACTACTGTAAAAGGTTGATATGTGTGCAAAGTTTCAGAAAGATATCTTGAACGGTTTATGAGATATGCTCCAGAAACGAAAGCTGACGGACGGACCCCATTTCAATATCCCTCCCTAACTTCGTTCGGCGCGGGATAATAACATGCTCTCCTTTTCCAACTTGCAGCCATTCTGGCCTTCCTAACGGACCTTACCATTAGTAAGTCATGAAATTATACATGTACCTGAGATTTTTAACTTTGCTACTAAAGGGTAAAAAATATTGGAGACAGGCAAAAACACACAAATAAGTAATGGAAATAATAACAGACAGCAGATGAAATGTGCTTGATAGCCTTCTTTCCAAAAACTAGTGCATGGTATTTAATCTTAATAGTTTTGATTTTAATGGAGAAAGAGAGGGAAATGGACTTTAACATCCACTCGACTCAAACTAGGTCATTTCGGAACTAACATGTTTCAATTTTATTTCAATAATTCGCTTGCACATAGAGGTCTTTATGCTAGCAGTGGGAAGAAACCTGACCCAGCGAAAACCCATGAAGTTGGACAGACGACCCTACCCCTTGTCATGTACAAGAGGGGAATCGAAACCACGCCACTTAATTCAATGACAGACGATAGCCATTCGACCACCCAACCCTCTAATACTACTATTAGTTAATGGAAATGAACTGAGAGGAAGGCAAAGATGGCCAGCCAGAAGCATAACAACTAAAAAGTTGGAACTCTGCTTGAAAAATAGATGTCACTGTAAATAACAAATAAATCTAGAATTTACCCAACTTAAATCTGATACGGTACACAAACCTGATTCAATGACTGTATTTTGCGTTGGTATCTTTTTTGATTGGCTTTGGCATAAAAGTATTCTTTCCAATTCTTGACATAGTCCAACAACATTTGACATGGGTCTGTTAACAGTAGCATCACGAACATGGGTAGGAATAGAACAAACAGGGCAATCTTTACCAAGAAATTCATCACAACAATTTCTGAAGTAAAAATGATTTAAAATAATTAAATCTTTTTCTTCTTAAGAACTGCAGTTTCATATCATTTGTCATTTATCTAAATTCTAAATCATGGATATTGCACAAATACTAAAATGTAATTTAAAGGAAAAATCGCAAGATGTATATCAGATGTATATAAGATGTACATTAGAACCATTTATTCTAGTGCTAATTAAAGCAACTATCTGAAATTCTATGAAATTCGTTTTTAAAGCAATAACAATGTCCAGTTGTCAGGTGGTGTTTGAAACGAACTTCTTGACCTGCTTTCACCTAGTGTCTGGATAAACAGTCTATTATAACGACATGTAATATTCATGTGCACTGACAACTTAACACAATTCTTTTTTTTTTGTTTCCCAGCACGTTATAGAATGTGAAAGAAATTAGTGCTAGATACACAAGATTAAATGATACCTCTAGGTTACAGTGTAACACAATTAAATATTGAGGAAAAGTGCTCTAAAAGAGCTATTAAAATTTTGGAAAATTTATGTTGATTTGCAATCACTATAATTGGTGTTATCTTTTTATATAACCATGCCCATCATGTAATTTTAAGATATTAAATATTCTCTTGAATTGGTTTAAACAATAACTGATACAATTTGGAGAGCAGCAACAGGAATGAGAAAGAGAACAATAAAATAAAATGCTCAGGGTTTCTACTCCCTGTTTTAGGCTGTTTATATTTATGCGTAATGCAAGGAAATGTATTTTCGCATAGATAGCATCAATGTTGTGCTTTCATCAAAAAAAAAACAAACTTTTTCTCTTGGTCTTGGAGTTTCACATCTCCTGATATAGTTTAGTAAGTGCCCTGACAAGTGCACTGACGCATGTATACCTACTTTTTACAAAATCCAGAAATAGATAATTGTTGAGTCCGGAAATCTTACCTGCAAAACATGTGACCACATCCTCCCAGTGTATACAGCCCTTTGGTCAAGTTTTTACTATAAAAGAACAAAATTATATATTATATGTAATTGCTGTTTATATAAATGATGTACTTTCATTCCTCTTCGTACCTACATGTACATGTACCTGCTCTAGTTTACCTTCATATAAGAACTGTTGAAATAATTTTATTCTACTCATATCATTTTCTTGATAAAGACCAGAGAATCATGGTGTGTTTTATCTTTTGTAACATTGGCTATAATTGGTTAATCAAATATGACATAGGGTTCAAATGAAATACCAGTGCATCCTTCACATTGAATTGGAAGATTATTGTCTCAATTTAAAAGTGTTTGTTTGTGAGTATCGGATGCATCATGTCATGATTTTTTTGATTTTTTTGTCACTTCAGTAAGTAAGTTCAACTTGTCACTAATTATCCACGTCACACATCTGTATCTGTATATAGGTACATCGAATCAACCATTTAATCGATGGATAAGGGGGAGCACTCTGCACTCATAGGTACATTATACAGACACTCTGACTCTTAAATTGTTTTGGTCCTTATTTTGATCCACATCAATATCATGATATTAAACAGTTTTATTTCCACATCGGCTGGACTAAAAATATCAATTATTCATTTATCCTGTAGTTTTCTTGGTACATGTATATTGACCTGATTAGGAATCGTGCGGTAGTAACTGAATCCTGACTACGACAGTGGCAATATCCAGCACTAATTGGAAGGATAGTAAAGGGAAATAACTAATTCAATCCCACTGACAGTGGCGGCAGTCCTTTAAAAAGTTTAATAATAATAGAAAAATTACCAGTTTCTACAGCATAGTAGCCTTTGCAATCTCTGCAAGCTTGAATATGTACGACTATAAGTTTCTGGTACTTTTTCCAAAATGGATGTCATGTTCTTTTCTTTCATCTCAGTTGATAAACAGTACTTGATATTATAATCTACTTCAGATCAAAATCTCTTTCAATTTCGCGCAATATTTTGATTAGTTAGACATTTACAGCCTTTTTGATGCGAGAGTGGGATTATAGGGAGGTAAGTCGCGCTTGGAATCAGACCACTAACAATTGCCGTTATTTAAAATAAATTGGATCCGACGAAGAGTAGGTGGACATGCTACTATCTGTACAAAATCGCCCCCCCCCCCGCAACACAATGCATGGGATATTCTCGTCTATATTATCCCAGATCCCAGTTGGTGCAGAACAGGAAAAAGTTCATTTAATTCTTTCATTTAATTCTCTTTTACGATACACTTTTGCACATGTAATAACGTATGCATTTTTGCACATAATATCACTGAACAAACAATGCCCAAGTCTTAACATTTTGCAAGTAAAATGCTAGGCCTACATTATATGCAATACAGTACTAAAAAGACTGAAAAAAGGATAAATATGTAAATAAATAAGAAATACCCGGTACTTATATTAGGTTACAGAAAAGCTCTCCCTGACAGATACTACAAATAAACAATGGAAAACGAATTAACATTTATCTTTATTTCAGTTTGTAACTAAACAAACATTATATTTTTAGACGAAAAACACATTACTTACAGTTTTTTGTTGAATACTTTTGCTACGGGATGACTATAAAAAGCTCATTACAACTGTTAGTTTAGTATCTGTCAAAACATTGCAATTGAGAGGGTTTCATTATTTTTTGGACTATCGCACGTGTTAATTCATTTGTGATTGAATACCAGATGGATTTTTAAAAAATCATAATTACTATCTGTAATCGGTATGCATTTCTGTTGAATAAGATATGTCACACATACACACATTTGTTGAAGGTATATGGAATTGAAAGGCTTTGAAATTAGATATGTCTCGGTGAATATGGCGCTAGATCACCATAGCAAGACTAACAGGGTTTGATCCCAGCGTTGACTGAGAATGTTCCTCGTGATTTCCTAGTCTGGTTTCCCCCATGTAAGTAATGCAAGGTATAGGGTCAGACAAGAAAAGGCATCTAGTTGTTCGGCTGGGACTTAAGTCAACTACCAGGCCAAAATTTCCCCCCGTAGCCACGCTGGTACATGCAAGTTTTACGTTGAGCCTCAGTTCATTTCATTTCTAGCAGACGTACATATCCGTGAGTTTATGGCTAGATGTTGGTTCATTAACAGCTTCCGGGTCAATACGTGAAGCTGACGCCACCTTCCTCTGGTCACGCCATTTTCCTAGACGACGTGTGAATTTGACAACACTGGGCTTGGTTCGGAGGGCTCTTATTGTCTTTTTAACCGTTTTTCTGAAATGTAGTAAGTTTCGTCTCAAGTAGACCAAATGATGCTGAAACGTTATCACATCAAGAACGACAATTCCGATCAAGATGGAGATGAATATAGCTAAAACTGCCATTCCTATCCACATTGACCCTTCAGCTTCTACTGGAACGGGTTCAAACTTTCTCTTTTCCCACCCTGATTGAAAAAAATAAAATATATAAACTAAATACAATTTTAAGACCTCGGTCAATATAAAACAAGTAGGCCTACGATAGTATACTATAATATGGACCAGGAGCCAAGCATGACGTCATCGTCATTTTCTTTGAATTATTACCTCATCAATCGATGCGCGATTGTCCAAGGAACAAGGAAGTTTCAGATCGAACGTACTTAAATTGAGCTTCGTCAACAAAAAAAGAAGAACAAGACGAGTAGAGCTTTTGAACCTGTTCCTGGTCCAAAAATAAAGCGCCCAAAATTGGTATAAATGTTAGTTTGATATCTGATCTTTCGAAAAGTAATTAATTGGTCATCATTTTGAATAAAATTTGGAGTCATGAAACTGGATATAAAATGGATATCATGTCTGCGATCTTGGCGGCTGATATTATGTGTTTTTAGAAATTGCGCTATGGTACTTCAGTAAAATGATCATAATGTTGTACAAGAATATTACATACTAAGATAAAACAACAGAATTGTAAGATAAAAAGACGCTTTAATTCTACTGTCTCAAGAGGCAATTTTCACTTCGCACGTCTGCCATAGTAGATAGTAGAATTAAAATCATAATTACTTTTTGGATGTCTTTTTGATCGATTGTATGTTGCGAAATTGTCTAAGCAGCTTAGGCGTGGCAACAAAGACCTTAATGCTAATTACCTGTGCATCTTGGTTTATCTCCAATCCAGATACCGTCTCCGCTACAAAATTGGTCCCAGTAGATCGTAATATCATCTGGATATATATAGCATTCATAGGTAGCAATATCTCTATACATTTCACCCGTTACGTTTGATTTGGCTCCAATATAATTTGGTGGTTTTCCACAGTAAACAGCTGAGAAAACAAAATTACGATATATTATTTTGTTACATTATTTATTATTACAATACATTTATACACCATTGTCCGCACTAACGTGCATCGGTGCTATTTACACACTAATCTAAAAGGTTAAAGTTATTTAAAATAAATTATAACTGACTGATAAAACATAGAAAGGTAAATGAAGCAGAAAGTCTGTAAGGCTGGCGAAAAAGTCGGTCTAATGCAAATGTAATAGGACCGTTTCTATATAACCGGCGAAAAAGCGCGCGGAAACGCGTACATGTACATAGAAAACGGGTTTAAAACAAATATCCCTGTCAAACCTTGACAGCGTCCTTACTGCGCTGCTACGGCGACGGGAAATAGTCTCAGAGCGCGTCAAGATCATCATAAGTTTGGTAAAAGCGTTGTGGAAACGCCAGATATCGTGCTGTGGTGTCCATTGTCTCTAATGATCGCCGATTCACTGCGTTTGTTTTGAGCATGTTCAAAACAAACGCCAGGGTTCGGCGATCTGGCCTGGATATCGTGCTGTGGTGTCCATTGTCTCCAATGATAGCCGATTCACGGCGTTTGTATTGAGCATGTTCAAAACAAACGCCAGGGTTCGGCGATCTGGCCTGGAAAGCTTTGTAACTTTTGGGGACATTTTGTCGCGTTGTTTACACGTTGGCCGGCGATCTTGTGCATTTTTTCTCGCCACGATCGCAGCAGCGCAGTAAGGACGCCACCCTGGTCTGACGGGAGCATAATTGAATGAGCGTGATGTCCATTTTTCATGTACAAGCTTTCGCGGCGTTTCCGCACGCGTCGGTTTAATGCAAATATAATGGGACCGGAAAACGCGAGCGGAAACGCCTCGAAAACGCGTACTAGCAAAACGGAATTAAAACTAAAATGATGTAATACTATAGGGTTTATTTTAGTTCTATGAAAGCGACTCTGTTTAATATATTGAAGTGGTTAAAAAAATGGGTGACAACGAGAAATCGGCTAAGTAGGTATTTTCCAAGATTCGAGTTTCTTAGACTAACTCACAGACAGTTCTTGCCATCATCAATTGCTGAAAGTAGGGTACTATTGTCATCTGGTCGTGCACATATTAGTCCAATTAAATAAAATACGAAACACATACCCAAAAATGGTAATTGCCCGCCCTAATAGCTGACGTGTCTATACTTTCTGTATAAGAAAGAGTGAGGCTAAATTGCCCTTCAGACATAATTCGGAGTTCCTAGGGGAACATCATACCGTTAGCCGCCTCAGCTTACCGGTCGTGGGAAATCATCATGTTGATTTAGAAAGAGGATCGTGCCACCATAAGGGATAGGTAACTTATATTTAGCTTATATTTTGTGTCAGAGCTGTGTGTGTAGTTTTCCTGTATATAACCGTTGTTATATGTTATAAAGATCTAAAAAGATAGTTAGACCAACAAACTGTTCCAGAGTTAATTCCTCATATACACGAAGCTGGACAGGCGACGGCGACCCTACTCCTTGTCACTCACAAGCGGTGAATCGAAACCACGCCACTTGACTCAATGAAAGACTTTGTGATCTACCGCACATTCAGCCTCCCAACCCATACGAGAAATGTGAGGTCATACAGCTGCAATATTCTGAAATGTAAAAGATTAACATAGTTACCTGTACAGTTGATATCTACATTCGACCATGTTCCACTCAGCTGACAAAAAGATACAGTTAAATATCCTCCGGCATTTACGTGACCTTTATCACATCTGTAGACAGCGGAAGCACCAGGAGCATTGTCTGTTGTTTTAGCTGTAGCATTAGCTACAGCAGGGGGTTGCGGACAATGTATGTCTGAAAAACAATTTAGTCGATATTAATTATTAAGGTATCGACTTTGATCGAGATTGCCGAAAGATGGACATTTGGTCCCAATTGTTTTTTTGTTTTTTTTTTAAAAAAAAAAACAAAAAACAAGTAGCTAAAATGTATCCAGAATTGGAAAGATGGAAAAAGTTTTATTGGGTCTCCCGTTCTTTCGATAACGTTTTGCCTTATAAGGACATTTTCGCAACAGCATGAAATTGTACACCCGTTTTAGAATGAAATATAGTGTGAATTGTCATCTATGCGAATGCTATGGTAAAGATGTTAGACCAGCTTACCCAGACAGACAGGATCATCTCCACTCCACACATTGTTACCAATACAAGTACGGGTCAAATTACCACTATCTAAAAATTGACGTCGACCACACTTGAGATAAATCTTGGCATTCCAATCGTAAGATTTGTTATCGTGTTCACAATGGATCTCTGTAATTTCAGTGACAAATATAACTATATTAATTACTCAAATACCAATTAGTTTTATTACATGTATGTACTCCATTAAAGATACACAATGTAAGATTTAGATAAAGGGCTGACCATTCTTGCTATAATAGCTCAAAAATAGATAATGTAAAATGAAAATATTGAAAATTTCATTAAAATTACTTCTTTCTGAGCCAAGTTATCACTGTTTGCAGTTTTGACAAGATGTGTTCATTGTGGTAACCAGGGCACTGTTATATTAGGACTTAACGTCGCTTTCCCATTTTTAAATTAAATTTTTAAATGGCGAACCATTTTAATCTAGTTAAAATCTCGAGTATCCGATGCCACCGAGAGTTGATTATGGTCTTGTTTTGTTAATAAATGTCTAATTAATAATTTAGATAACATTTCAGGCCTAAAGAAAGGTCTGCAATAGGCAGTTTTAGCTCTTGCATGATGTATGTTTAACATCTGACATTTTCAAGCTGCTTGTGATGATATTCAGGGATGTTTATTGTGCTAAACTTTGAGAAAGTCTGTATGATGAAAATGATTTTGAGTGGTTTACGGATTGTATAATCATTTAAAATATAATTTTAAAAGTAGTTTTCCTAGCAGGACGTGGCGGTGATATAGAATTGGTTGGATTGCACATAGGTGTAAAAATCATAAGAAGATAAAAACGAAAGGAAATAGTAATCTAATTTTGATTAAATTGTTAATTGCGCGAATATCAATCATCGAAGGTGAATATAACTTGCAGTCAAATTCATGAATCGAATAGAAAATCTTGGATTGTTCTGACGATATATCAGTGCTTGTTTAAACTAACTGACCATATCTAGTAATGGCTGGTAGCATTGGAAACTTCAGAATTTTAATACAAACAAAAGATTCCTATGAATTTTATTTCGATAATATATAACGTGGCCAGGTAATGGATCTCAGACCTTTTAGATTCCCTAAAAAATTCTTTATGCCACTGGCGTTTTGAGAGTCTCGTTAACCAGGTCTAGTTGCGCTAAAATCTAGCTGCAATATTAATTATAGGCGTGATAATTCTTATTCACGACTACGATTGATACTCTCTATTCGAGGCCTTGAGCAAGTAAAATTAGGTTCAATTGCAAAATTTTCAACACATATCATCACAGTGTGCATGGAAATAAGTAATTATATTACAAATAGTGAAAAGTGAAACATTGAAATCTAACAGGTTTTCTGTATTTTCGAGTGACATGAAATCACGCGATTCTGGTTCGGCGGCCATGTTAAAATGAACAGAAATTTCGCATAGCAGTTGGGTTTAATCAAATCATATAATTATACGGCAAGGTTTTACCTTTATTTCAATGGGAATTGGCTTATTATATGTTATTGTTAATTGGAAATTAAGGGAGTTATAGGCCAGTAACTTTTTTGTAGTCAAATGACTACAATACTTGCTCAAAGGAAGGCCTTAGGACGGTCCACTACTGTGACTGGAGCAAGAAGGAAGACATCAGTAGTGGTACAATTTCTACCCTAGGACCAATCAAACAATTGTAGACAAAATACTGTTGTATTGAAGGGTATGGTGGTCATAATTATAACGCTTAACTATGGTGCTTAACATTTCAAAATTGTTCTTGCCGGACATTTTTTACCGAAAAAGGGACATAACAATTATCGTTATTTAAGCATGCGGGTTCAGACCACAATTAAAAATCACATGTCTAACAAAATGTTCAAATTCGTACGTAATAAAAAAAATAAAACAAAAATAGGTGCACCTTATTATTTTCCATATTTAATTCCCGTGCGGTATTCAAATTTATGTCAGTAATATTCCTACAAAATTACGAGTTGTCGTAATACGATAGAATGGAGGGTGTCGACTACTGCCGACTCGCACATGTTTCAAATTCCTCCAAAATTACCATACACGTTTCAGCAGAAGTCCGGCATTCATCTTATAATCCGTTTCGACTTATATACGGAAGGTAAAAAAAAAAAAAAAAAATGACATCCCGAAATTTATTTGGCAGTGACATCATCTGCATTCGATTCTAGCACACGCTATCGTCTGAATACGCCTCGGAGAACCGAATAGCCGAATTACATTTTGTTGGAAATGAGACCACTTACTTTCACAATAAGGTGGCGTACCACTCCACGTACCACTAACTGTACATCGTCTCTCTAGGTCACCTCGAGATGCAAAATAACCAGGATAACAAGTATAGGTGGCGTAGGAATTGTATTCTTGGCTGTCAGCCACAATAATACTATACTCCACATCATCTGGGGTCGGACAGTTGATGACTATAATGTGCAATAAAAGAAACATTCAATATCATTAAAAAACAAACATATGATGGCGCCATTGGATAGATAGTATATCAGACAAAAAGGCGTGACCAATCCAATAGTCTTAACAAAAATTAGTTGATCTAACATTTATTAAAGTCGAATAATCCTAAAGTAAATTATATCAATACAAAGTTTTATGGCTATTTTCTTAAAAATCGTTAGTCGTTTCTATCCGTGAACATCGAGGTCAAGATGGTATCTAACCTAGACTGTTCGTTTTAACCGACTAAATTACAAGCTAAAGAACACATTTCAACCTTTACTTTTGTTAAATGTAATAAAAGAAATGTCTATTGATTTTCTGGCACATTGCTACATAAAAGTATGCCCAATTAAAACTTGACATACACCAAATCGTAAACTAGCTGCCTGCCTTAACTGGGCATCTTTGGGAGTTATAATGCATATAGATACTTACTTCCACATGTCGGCTCTTGACCACTCCATTCACCGTTATCAAGACAAGTCCTGGACATATTTCCGCTTTCTGTAGCATAACCTTCGAAACAGATATATGTGGCGTTGGAACCGATGTTGACATGTAAAAAGCTCACGGCCCCATTTTCAGGTCTTTTTAATATTTCACACGATGTCGCTTAAAAATATCATGAATTATAAAAACAGTCATATATTTGAGAAAATTCGTGAATTTATGAAACAATCATGAATTTAGGAAGAAGAAATAACAAGAAGCAAAACCGCATGTATAATCAAATATTGAACATTTTTAAATTAAAACCAGCTCAAGCACAACCTTTTCTTTGGTGGATATAGAAATTTAATCTGGCGATAAAGAGCAGGAATCAATCAAATTGAAAATAGAAAGTAAAGATATGTGAACTGTTATAAATGTTTTGCCACATCGTTATCAGACGATTTAATAATAATACCGAAACCCTTGGTAGATAAAACTCTCGCCTTACCCACACACTCAAGATCTTCGCCGTCCCATTCACCTGATGGTAAACAACGTCTATATGAGTCACCAGAAACTGATTCGTGTCTTTCCATACACTGATAATACAATACAGCACCATCTGAAACCGAGCTGTTATCAGTGCCGTAAGCATTGGGAACATCTGGTGGTCCACCACAGTAAGATTCATCTAAAATCAAAAACGAAGACGGAACCATAGATGATAAAAGATACCCAAGGACGTTGGCTCGCTAACCTGGAGGTCCCGTGCTGGAATCCAGCGTGTGCCGAGAAAGTTCATCGACGTGGTTCGCCTGTCAGTGGTACAGGACAAGGGTCCTGGCAAGGGACAACGTATAGTCGTTCGGAGGTGACAAAAATCCCAGGTCCCGTGTACAGTTGTCGTGCACATAAAATCCCTTGACAGATGGAATTCGGAGCAGAACAGTAGGACGTTAAACCCCATTTCATTCATAACGATTGCAGTATACGAATATCAATAGAAATCAATGAAAACTTTAAATGGACATAACTTATTGATCTGTCTGAACGATTTTTGAACCAAATTGTTATTCGGTACAAGGACTGATTATGTATGTACTACATACATTTCAGAATCATTGCACAAAATGTTCATAAATTTACTGCCAACCCTAACCCTTGTTCGTTTTTTGGAGTATGGGCACGTATATCGAAAAGTAGTTGTTTTATTATATATCACATTGAACGCTTTATACATGTACAGTATCTCCAAAAACTATAATTCCATGTATCTAACGACAATATACTAACGTTATTAAAATATAATAACACATTTTACCAGCATTAGAGAAAGGAATCCTATTCCAAAAAATCAAAGAGAATATACACGAAAAATCCTTTCCAGGCACCATTTTCTTTCTGCCATCGAATCTGTCAAATGTTTCAACCAGCAATAATTGCACTTACTAAGCAAATGATTAGGTAATAGAGCTTGGATTATAAAACTGGTGCAAATTAACCTTTACGGTGTTATAAGGCATAAATCAACGTCTTTCTTAAAGCATACACGATAAAAGAAAAATTAGAAAAAAAAAATCTTAATGAAAGTTGATCTGCATGTAGCGTGACGTATTTACATCCAGAATTTTCTTGTGCCTGCAAGAATGACTGTGATAGATGGTTTAATATATTGAAATGCATTCAGTAAAGCATGCTTTTTATTTCTTATACTTGTCGTAAACTTTTATATTCAAGTAGCTTGGTGTTCAGATAGGTGATTAGGCGTTATGAAAAGCATTCAGTAAACCATGATTTTTATTCCTTACTTTTATCGGGGAGTTTTATTTCTTGCAGCTTGATATTAAGATAAGTGATTAGGAGTTATGAAACAGCATTATGCAACTTGTAATTCAACCGTACAGAATTCACCTGGGAGCGTCGACAATAAGCTGTTTCCATTGAACCTTGTACCCTGAAACCTATTCAATTTCTTATGAAGCTTTATTATCAGTTGACCAACCCAGTTAAGCTTGTGGGGACCCTAAATTAATGCGGATGGTCTTAAATTCCGTTCAGCATTGACAAAGATGTGGTAATTTGTAAGTTTCGTAACATTATGCGTGTAGGGGATTGAAATCTGTTAGGTTAGCCTAATTTATCTGAACTGTCCTGTATGACAGAACACTTTGAAAACGGAATTCGTCATTAAGTGAGTTTTATGTGTCATTATTTCGCCAGGCTAATAAATGAACACAGTAATTTGAACTTTTGTTCTTCGGGGAAAGCTTTAAAATTTTGCGCCCCGAAGAACCGAAAATTAAATTGCTTTGTCCTAACCAACCATTGACATGGAGTATATATGAAAGATGTTCATAAATTATGACATCCGGTTAAAGGTTAGTAAGGGTCAAATGAAATATTGCACAGAATGTTTATGTTACTTTCAATTTGATTTAATTAAACATGGGGGATATATTGGATTCATCTGGCAATGCATTTTAGTATTAGAATGATCTATACTTCAGGGATTGGCCATTGGTTAGATTCACAAAAAGTAAGTGGGGGATGACTGTACACACTAATGCTTACCCAAATTTAAAAGAAACTAATCAGACATATACAGGCGACGAGACACATCACAAATCGAATAAATTTTTACAAAGACGAGACAACCCTTGTCAGAAATAAACATAAGTACCTGTATTCCATATAATTGTGTCGTGCATTATGCTTAAAATCGATTGCACAATCAAATATTCTGGCACTCCTTTGTAACATTCATAATTTTATTCATTCATCGAGCGCTCTTTATAGAATAGACCACAACTACGTTAGAATATGCAGAGCATTTTTAAGGGACTTGAAGCACTTCCCATGGACGCGAGCAAAATTTTGAATTTTGGCATACCTTAGAGTGGATCTGAGCGATGCCCGACTGAGCCTCAATCGGGAGGAGCGTGTTAGGAGGACATCAAAGTTAACTGTCCAGTCCAACACCAACACGGCCAACAACACAAGTAAGGGAAGCAAGTACATTGTAAATCTAATATTTTACTTAGATATGTTAATTTCCATCTCTCAAATAGTGCACAAAACGCGTAATTTCAACTCTTTTTTTTTACAGAGTTTAGTGGACAGGGTTTAGTAATATTTATTACTCAGTTTTGGAGTAAATGGAAATCTCCTATGTTAAATGTAGTTGGCTCTAACGGTAAGTTGTTCTCTAAAGGTCCCGATATAGTAGGTAAAGTATCCAAGATAGGTAGTTTTAAAACATATTTTGGTAATTCACAAATCGTGTATTTTTCGCAAAATACAAAAGAATTGGTTGTCAGAAAGACAACAGTAATTATATCCTTAAAGAGAGCATCAGTTTTGTTGGTAACCTTTTCATAGACAATCCAGAAGAACAATACAAGAAAACTCCTATAAATACATCGTTCTGGAGTTTTACGTCCACTTCCACCAAGGGTGATATCGTAGACAAGAATAAATACATGCACGTACAACTTTTATAATTAACATTGGGGGGTTTGATTGCCGAATGTGTTAACAGTGTTAGGTCAAAAAAATATATTATATATCTGAGTAGAGATCAGAGCTACTTGATAAGCCTTTCAATTCGTGCGATCTGGATTCCTGCTTCAAAGAATGACGGTCAGATATCTATCATGGAAAATAAATCGAAACGTTACTGGCATCACATATAAATCAACCGATGTCTTAAAAGGCACGTGATTACTCTTTTTTTTAGTGAATTGTGAGAGATCGTGGCCAATAATTGATAAATAACAACCGATTTAAAATCCAATTATGAAATATCGTCTAATTGTCGATCCCTTTAACTAAGATAGAAACAACCTTCAAGAGTTTCACACTCAGTTCCGGGGAGAGGAAGACGCCTTATCTTCACTTTAGTTGAAGTGTTTTAGAGACAATATCATTATAAACCAGCTTAGTATTAGTCATCTGTGTCAACTCTGTAAATAAATTACGTTGTAGATTTGGAACGTTTCATACATCGTTATCACCGATTTCAGTTTGTGTATATCCGAGAAGTAATGAAATGGGGTTTAAAAAGGCCTACTACGGAGTATATTATATTCGATGTTAATTGGAATCCCAAAGACCAAATCTAAGTTTGTAGGCCTTCTGAATATACGTGAAAATCCGGGCGAATACCTTAAGACTATCCTTGTGTTTCAATTGTGGTGGAGATCTGTATTGCAAGGATGTGTGAGACGATGGGTATACATTTTATTTATACTTTTATTAACAATGCGTTTGGTGTATCATTCTGTCATCTGTGTGAATTCCGGATAAATCGCTCCCCATATCGGATGTTATATATGTAGTATCTTTAAAGGAGTTATAACTGTTGTCTTGTTACAAAAAGTAAGATATTCTGTGCTGTTATTTGCAATACACATTTTCGCCTGAAAGTGATATTAATTACGGTACGTGATTTAAATAAAGTTTAAAATCGATATTGTCGGCAGCGCCCCAGGATTTTGTTGGATTGGAGGTTGTGTGTGTGGGTGTGTGTGGGTGTGTGTGTGGGGGGGGGGGAATTTAAAGTGCATTAAGTGCACAATGCAGATATACAATAAAACAAAGACAGATTAAACGATATACGGACATAGCAAATTCACAGCAAAGATAAAAATTGAATATACACGTACATCACGAAAAAGTTTATTTTAATCTCTAGTAAATAAAGACCATTGCGATTCGGGTGAGACAACGGAAACAAAATACAAAATTTGACTATTTCCTGTTATTCGTGAAGTAAGCTATTGGACTAAACATTCAAAATATCTCCGTGTACACCCCTTCTTTTATCAGCTATGCTAAATAATTTTCATTTTATCAAACAATCGAGATAATGATATTAAATAGCAAAAACAGCATTCACAAAATTATATGGTCGTCATCGGGAAATTTTTGATCTTTATAAAAAACCGATGTTTTCTATCACCACAAATATATTTCCCCAACACTGGCGTTTCGGCATTTACGTATTTATGTAATTATAATAGTAGCTGGTATCATACACGATAAAAGGTATACTTATTTTTTATGAAACAAACGACACGTGCAAGTTATGTAATACTATTCCTCACGTGTTATTACCCAAATTTGTATTTTTATATTGATGAACTTGATGGCAGCCCTTTGATATATAAAGTATAGACGGTATTATGTTTTATACCATTATCTATAAAGTCTGGGCTATCTGGATATTATTACAATGAATTTTAACATTGCACTGTAAGTTCGAAAACATAAATTCAAATATTCCAATCATAGTTTTGGGGATTTCTGTTGCAGAAAACTAACATTGTTAAGTGGAACTAGAAGAATTTACAAAATAGGATTGTCATTGTAATCGGAAATCCGTGAGATATTAAAAACCCTGTATTCTTTTCATTTCAGAATCTACTATGGATACAAACGTGTAACTTACGTAAATTAATGGGTGATAAATATTATTAAACAAGAAGTGGTTAATTATAAATATGATGAACGTTGGCCAAGCCTATTATTAAACACGTGACCTTGCAGTTTTATGACCTTATCTGTCACCAAGACGAAGTTCCTGGCTGTCACGAAGACATGAATCATGTTACGACCAAAGACCAAACCGAGCTGTTGACACAACAACTATATAGAATACGTGTATCCTTTGAATAATATAATATGTGATTATCTCTATTTACAATGATAATATGTTTTTGTTTTGGAGGGGGGGGGGGGGTAATCATCCGTGTTCTTATTATGAAATGATTAAAACACGTAAGTATGTCATTAAAAAAATTTTCTACGTCTTATATCATAATATAAGGTAAGTCTATTCATTGTCATTTATCAATTCGGGGCTCTTAACACGGTGGAGAATACTCAAGTAAGTGGAAATCTTATCTTCGAACTAATGACAATAATATTTTAATTTCTTTATTACAGTTATAAGAACAAATGTGCCGTTAAATTTTAACTATTTTCCATTTTAGCTATTATGTAATTTGAACGAAGCCAATATTATATGTAATCTTAACTCGAACTAATGACAATATTTTAATTTTTTTGTTACAGTTATAAGAACAATGTATCTTTAAATTTCAACTATTTTTCATTTTAGCTATAATGTAATTTGAAAGAAAATTTGCTGAAGCCGAAACTGTATGTAATTTAAATTAAAAATGAAACAAAATTTGTTATATCGTGTATTATATCACAATTTTAGATTTTGGACTTGATTACATTTTATATCTGAACTTAAAATATTGAATGACATTTAAAAAAAACCTAACGAAAACACTATCAGTTTCTTCAGTAAATTTTAAGCTCACAGACAGATTAACGATGGCTTCTTTTTTTTGCTTGCAGAAAATGGTCTAAAGGAAGTTAAAATCCAATTTGTTTTTCAAAAGAATAGAAGATGATATAAATCTAATTTATTTTAATTCTCTCATTTTTATTAATATTCACAGTTACAAGACCCGTAAATCCACCAAGGAAGACTATAACGCCAATAGCATCTCAGGTGACAACAACAGCGTCTCCGATAACGTCCATACCTAGTGTAACTGTTGATCGGTTTTTCCATGGTATCGGTGTAGGTTTAGTTGCAGGAGTTCTAATAACAGCTGGTATAGCATCAATAGTTTTCTGCATCATTCTAAAACGTAGAAAACAGACGGTTCAAGGTAACTGTTCAATTTACATTAATCTTGCCTAATTCTAGTACCAGTAGTTCAACACTATCAAAGGGTCGCAACACGCCCCAGTTGTCAGTTGAGTTGTCGAATATCAATGTATGATATGAAACTGGGGGGCGGGGGGTGCTTCCTCCGATCCGCCACTTAAAGTCATTGATCATAATGAAGTATTTTACTGGGCAAATGAATTGTTATACTCAAATTCCCAATCAACAGTGGAAATTGTTTCATCTTGATCAACTGTTCAAAACAGAATGTTTTAAATATTGTTTAATTTCTGGAATAAACTACCCCAAAAATGAAGTTGTCGGTTTTCATATATTGTGGAATGGCAATCTGTGTTCTTTGAAAAATCTACATAATTGATTGATTAGTCCACTGTCGATACAAATGAAATGAATCTTAATATCCCTACTTCTGCGTCTTTCATGACAGAACTATAATCGTACACAGAGTTTGTCCTATCACTAATCAAAAAGATTTATCGTTTAAAAGTACTATTAATTAAGTTATGTTTAGTATAATATATTATTTAATATTATTTTTTTTGTACTTTCAGAAGTTGAAGTGAATTCATCGTAAGTATTTAAATGCTATATATTCATATATTAGATTTAATAGTTAGAAACGGGTAATTAATTATTCAAAGGTTGATGATCACGTGAAAAACGGGATTCTTTGTCAAGGAGAGGCGGGTGTGGGGAATCAAGGGTGATCCTATAGTTTTGCGCATTGCGCCTCTATGAAGCAGTGAGTAAGACGCTGACTCACTAACAAAGAGGTCTCGAGATCGCTACCAGTGTTGGTCGCGAAAGTACCTCGAGATGCAGGTCGAAAAACCGAAGTCCCCTGTAAACATTGACGTGCACGTAAAAGAGCCATTGACAGTTGGAATTTGAAAAAAAACTAGGCCGTAGCGACACACTGTCCAGGCAAAATTTCCCTCATACCACTTTGCAGACAAGTAAGACGTTAAACCCCATTTCATTTCATTTCAGCCTTGTGGATGCACATACATACTATCTCTCTGTGTTTAATTTAAAAAAGAACATTGGACTACGTTTTACCTTTATTGTAATTTTTAATTTTATTTTACAGGTATACGTACCCCATCTTTATAGCTCCCCAACCTCCAGTGGGCCCAGGTAACTATGTATACATATAACTTATTTTCTTAGAATAATGGCATGGAAACGTCAGCTACCCCGTTTTCCCCACTCTTTTCCTTCCAGACTAAACTAATTTGTACATCTTTGCACAAAACCAAAAGCTAGCCGATCCAGCCATTTCAAAATATGGTACGGGACAGGTGGTGAAGCTAATGCAAGCTTTCGATAAGTTGTGGTAGAAATAACATCAATTCTATCTAAGAACGTTACAAAAAGTCGAGGTGGGAGCTTAAATCTACCAGTGAATGCAAAGATGGGACAAGAAGGTGAAATGTGTCAGATAATGTCTTTCCAATTTACGTGTTACCAGATCTGAAGTGAACGTGACTTTGTATTTAGTCACTCCTTGCTAAGATATTATCCAGATGAACTGAGGTCTTAATTTGCTCCATGATGGTCCATCCTTTAATTTTATAGTGTAAATTAGTAATTTTATATTATGTAGTCTCGTACAGATATATTTTCCTTTATTTCAGCAGCCAACGGGAATGTACAAATACCACCGGAAGGTCATTATGAAGCTTTAGGAAACCAAGATCCACAGATGCCACCAGAATACGAACAATTAAAATTATACGAAAATACAAAATCATAAAAAATTTATATTTTAATAATAACAATCGTGTATGTGACGTTATTGTTATCAAACTTTCGATGTAAATTTAATGATTACCATAAAGTAAAGCACATGTTCCTGAAACGATGATGGCACCGCAGATTCAAATAATGAATACTGATCAGCGCTTCGGGAGCCTATGCTTTTATTTTATCTCATAGTGAATTTAGACAACAGGGCTCTTCTTAACTAACAAAAATAATCACATCAATTAAGACATTTCTAAGAACTGCTAAAATAACTGCTAAATCACATATAGCAACAGCAAAATCCGAGCACTGACGGGTAAAAAATATCAGCATTAGACGAGCTATGAAAAGAACTGTTAACACATTAACGCAGAAATATTGCTTTATAAATCTCATGCTGTAACTACAAACCACACTCGGGAAATTTAAGTCTTAACTTTTCTTTTGAAAGTGTTACAAATACCTGAACGGAATCCAATATTTAAATTGATTTCAGTATGTGGGCGTAAATACATGGCTGCCATTATTCTCAATGGATTAATAGTTTAGTTATATACACAGACAATAACTGAACGCGATTCGTTTAAACAGGGAGTGTTCTAAACATTTGTAAACTGAACGAATATAGGGTTTAACGTTGGTTCCATTGGCATTTGGTATTTAGATCTTTAAGATTAAAGAAGTCCTCCCAGTTATGAATGGTTAATTCTGCGTAAACGACTTTTATAACCCGTTAAATTCTAGTTCTGTGCCACTCTTTGAATCTCTGTGAAAACTATCTTACTAAAACAATATATCACGCGTTAATTACGATTGCGGAAAATCGCGTTTCTATCGCCTCATTATTTTGAGCTGATACTCAGGGAAAACGGGCATTGTTTTCACATGTTTACGTTCGACATACATATTTAAACACATGTCTACTTTATGAAATCTGGGACGACTCCTTTAAAATTGCATATACAGTAAATAACGTTATCATTTTCTGTATTGCACTAAGTTAGTTAATCCACAATTATTAAGTCATAATTATTTATATTAAATATATTAATGCATATTATATACTTTTAAATTTCGATTTGATCTGCATGGCTGTATTTATAATTTTTTAATGAATTCTAAAATTTTATTTGAGCTTAATTTTTAAGAAAATGGCAGCTTTATATATTGGTTTACCGCCAATAAGATGTCTGCACAGGGCTTTGTAGTGGTGCACGTGATACCAATATTAATATATCTAGACAACGGAAACCCTTACATAACGGACTTTAGGGTGAGATAACCCTTTAACATGTAGTTTGAATACTTAGCAATTAAATATATTTATTATACCGTATAATTTTCCTCTTATTGCACAGAATATTAATCTCTATCAATGGTGGCTTGATTATGTAAACTATGTATATTTTAACCTGTTATTATTGATATATAATATATTTTATAGTAATGTTTGAATATGGGTTGTCTGCCTGTTATATTATATTGACATATTGTATATGATTTTTATATCTTCGCCAATCTAAATAAAATTATATCTATTACAATTTCGTTTCGATTATATTTTCGGAATCTTCCGCTACACTGTAACCATAATTCACCATGTAGCACGATGCGCATACCTCATACTCATGCAGTAATAATAGATACAATATGATTAGTCAAGAAGTTCATGCATTCTTCAAACAAAATATGTTGCACAGCATAACAAAAACATACTTCACTAACCCACCCCTTTCGATCAAAGATTGATCGATATTCGATATTTTCAAATTGTCTTTCGAGGGAAGAAGACCGGCCATTGGTCAACAAATGATGTTCCTAGATGTCAAACAGTCAATTGGAAGTATAGAAGACAAGAACTTATTTCTAAAAAAAAAATAAAAAAAAAAAGATATAAAAAATCCATATACCAAATACAAAAAAAAGGAATGAAAACAAACCGAACTCCTCTACCCACGTCATTGAAAACATTCCGATTTAGATTTATCACAATTCTATACTTAAATTAAGATTGAAATTTTTATCATCTTCAAACTGCACCGTCACAAGACAACGATTGATTATTGATTATTGGTATTTATAACACTTTTGCCACATATAATTAAGCATAATCCTACCTGACACGGGTACAAATCATCTCTTTTAAATCGTCGCGATATAGATGGCCCCCTCCGGCATTTTAAATTTGACATCTTTACGTCATGAAGGTGGGGCTAAAAATATGTCATGTAAGCGAAAATTGTTTCACTACACTGGGCTGGGTATGTTTAACTAAGGGGGGGGGGGGTGGATGGCCGAATGGTTTGCACGTGCGCGCTGTATCATAAGACCTGTCATTGAGTAAACTGGCGTGGTTTCGAATCCCCGGTAGTACGTGACAAGGAGTAGGGTCGCCTGTCCAACCTCGTGGGTTTTCTCCGGGTCCTCCGGTTTCCTCCCACTGCTAAAGACCCCTACGCGCAAGCGAATTATTGAAAGAAAATTAAACCATATGTTATTCCCGAAATGACATAGTTTGTGTCGAGTGGACGTTAAACCCCATTTCTCTCTCTCTCTCTCTCTCTCTCTCTCTCTCTCTCTCTTTTTTAACTAGTCCTATTGGCATAAAGATGTTACACGCATTAATAAATTGCCAGGTGAAACTAAATCAAATGCATCCAATCGTTGCAAAAAACAAGCACATCAGAATATCTCAACGTTTTGAGCTACGTTCTTGGTTGATTACGGGTATGTACTTTGTGATTGTACCTACCAGCTTTTGTTGGTTCTTTTTTTTGTAAATTCGGTGGAGGACACTTCGAGGTCCGGGGCCCCTGTGACGCCGCATGAAATGCTCACGGAGTACGTGCTTGTTCCTACGAAAACCCAAAGAAGACAGCTTGGCATCGGCAGAAAGTGAAATCTTGTCAGACATTGATTTTGCCCCGAATGTTCTGCCTTATCAGTACGAACTGCACCATTAGAAATGCGAGCAACAACGGTGACGATGATGGTTCGGAACATTCTACCATTTCTAGCGAAGAAGAACAATCGCTGCAAGCTGTGTTCGGATTAGAGCAGATATAGTACCTTGTGTTATCAGTCCTTCGATTCTCGATAACTTTTCGCTTCATTTATTGATGTTCACACTTCATCGGCGAAAATATATCAGAGAAAAACTATTAATTTCAACAAGTTTACCCAAGCCATAGGGTAATATAGTATTATATGCCCTAGCCTACTTTCTTTGTGCGACAATTGAAAAAACGAGGGTCCCGTCGTATAGGTATAATGTACCTATCGTTGAAAATAATTTCTATCGGGAGTATCAGACTCATTTACTCGTACCACAAAAAAAGTTCATCCTGTAGCCTACAAAATAAAACGTAAATAAAATAGTAAATGACATAAATTTGAAATAAATTAAAGAGGCTGATGTTCTTTTTGATTGTTAATATGAAGGGATCTTACCAAACAAACGTGTAGAATTCGAGAGGGGTTCACTAGTCCGCGGGTGCACTAATCCGCCGCTATAAGATAAGAAATACTATAAATATGGGTTCAATAAACCTAAACCTAACCCTTAATTCCCTGTACGGTTCACTATAGTCTGCGGGTGCACTAGTCCGCCGCTATAAGAATTACTATAAATATGAGTTCAATAAACCTAAGCCTAACGGTTCACTAGTCTGCCTCTATAAGAAATGCTATAAATATGGGTATCATAAACCTAACCCTAACCCAACCCTAATAATAGATATCGGTGGACTAATGAACTCGCGGACTAGTGAACCCGCAGAATTCATGTGTTCAGAAATCAGAATGATCATAATATGGTATACAAGTATGAATCCCCTAACCCTAACCCTATAATCTCGCCAACAATCTCGTGCCCTAACCTTATATTTACCCTAGGAACCCTAAAATCTCGCCAACAATCACGTGCCTTAAAAAAATATATATCCCAGCGACCTTGACAAAAATTGAGCTGGCCTTAACAAAAAGATTTAGCTATAAACACCCCCTAGCTAGGGCAAGAACGAATAAATTAAAGGGAAGGTACTCTATTTTCTAAAAAAAAGTCATAAAGTTGTCTCCCTTACACAAAGTAAGTATTTCGTTTTGCTCATTTCACTCTAATCTACGCAATTTTTTGGGCCAGTTTTATTGTATTTTTGTCCAAAAATGTAAAAAGTATTTCAATAAAGTATTTATGGGTGTTGAAAATAATTATATATATCAACAAATCGAAGAAAAAAAAAAAAATTATTTGGTTGAAAGACTGGATAACCACATCTTTCAGAAGCGAATTTAATCAGAGTTATCTCTGAATTAAAGAAATTGTCACCTACCTTTGCTAAAGAGAAAATCAATCTTTTTCATCAAAAATTGGTTATCTCCGGATCATAAAGGTAAATATAATGGATGCGGTGCCGTTACCTCACTTTACTTTATTACCTTTGGGAATTGTACTTTTAGTTATTGCTTATGGTCTGTGTTTTTACCATGGACCTTATACATAATAATATTTAATAGCCCATGATGCCATGCCCATGGTTTTACCTGCTCGGCTGCTCCTGTGTAGAGTTGAAAAATAAATAATAAACCTGTTACTAGTACTACTGTTTTGCTGTACAGAGTAATGTAGAAAAAAGAAATTACTGTCTAGTTCTAGGATAATTTAATTACAATTAAAATAAATACATCATTTTCGTATAACCGTGTGACTGCAAATGATTCAGGATCTGCTCCCCGACGACTAAAGTATATACGTCTGCATTCCCAGCCAGGTAAATTTATGGAGCATTCATGTGATTGTTAAAATCTTGGATATGACAGTAAGCTATTTAATTAACAGGGACATTTTATTTATTAAGAGCCTTATTTATTGAAGCTATGTTCGTTCATGTTATTGTTATGTGTCATGTACGCTGAAGCACTGTATAGACAACTGAGTCTTACCATGGAAGCTATACGTAGAAACAGTATTGCTCATTTGCTATTGGTCACTACCCTTACCTCTGATTCCTAGTAGAAAATTGTTCACATGCCCTATGTACAGTGTTGAAGCACATTTGATTACGGGGGGTCACGGTAGCCAAGTGGGTAAGACGCTGGCTAGCCTGGAGGTCGGGTGTTCGATCCCTGCATTGAGCAAGAAAGTTCATCCAGATTTTCTGGCATGTTTACCTCTAGTCAGTGATGCAGCACGGAGGGCCTGACAAGGACTGCTGTCTAGTCGTTCGGATGGGACGGAAAACTGAGGTCGCTTGTACACATTTGCATGCATGTAAAAGATCACTGGACAGATGGAATTCAATATAAGAGGATGCAGCACACTGTATGGCGTATGCCCGTCTTCATTAGTTCAGTTCGGAGCAAAACAGTAGGATGTTAAACCCCATTTCATTCATCATTTGATTATGTTCTAAAAAAGAATAATTGGACATATTATCCCTTTTGGAAATGGTCGCTAAATTTTCTTCAATTGTATGAGCAAGTTTATAATCATGATGTCTTGGCCATCACATAACCATGTATAGACATGTAGGGTGTGTACTTTAATTGGGACTTATACATTTATGCACCTTCACAGGGAGATTTTATGGCTTTGAAAGAATACACCAAAGAATGCTAGATAGTTGTATAGAACTTGCACAGAAATAGTATATAGGTATGCATGATTCTTTCAGTCCATTTGAATCAGTTTTTCAATAAAATATATCTAGAGCAGCACCTTTAACCAATAAGAATCATTATAGAGAGTTTACTAATCAATAATCCAAATATTGTATAGACTGTACGTTGAGACAGTTTTGGCTACTAATGAAAAAAATAAGCTGTACCGTGATCCTATTATCAGCTGAGAAACTTTTAAAGATCTACATGTTTTGATAGAGCTACATGGCATCTCTCTGAAAATTAAAGAATCAACTTAATTCTCGTCCTAAATTTACCTGTTCATCTGTATTTATACTTTTAGTCTATATAGAGAAAAGAAACAGGGTTTAACATTGTAGGCCTACATGTACATGTATGTTTCTGCATCGTATACACGTATGTAGAGAATTTTATAGAACTGATAAAATTTCAACTTTCAGAGAATGTAATAAATCGAATATTCTTCTCGTTTCAGATTTTGATGAAAAAGGCAACAAATTAGACTTTGGAGGTGGTGAAATGTTTTTGAATATCAAGTTTGTTGAATAATAGTCTACCTGGTTTAAGAATATAATTCACTCATAGATATGGAGCTTCCAGCAAATATGAAACTTCCAGAACTTCCCTCAAATATGATGCTTCCCCCTTTACCAGTTCTTGACAAGGAACAAAATTTTCAGGTTTTCAAACTAAAACCTGATGTCAGTCACATGGCCTTTGGTGCCAAGCCTTTTGTGGTTCCACATCAACAATTAGTCAACCAAGAATTGATATTGCCTCAAGATATCAAATCTGAACCTTTGGACGAAGATGAAAATTTAGCAAGCAGTTCCAACAGCTTTGTTCACCAAACGGTCAACAATAATAATATTGATACCGGTACATCAACCAATCATATCCATACAGCATCTCAAGCTTCAAGTTCCTATGACCGTCACCCATCTAATAATAACACATCAGGATTGATTAATCAGAAATTGATAGTTCCACAAGATATAAAATCAGAAGAAGGAGATGATTTAATTTCAAATTGTAGAGTTTATTTTGATAATAGGACAGCGGAAACTACAACACCTGCTAACCAAGACAAGGAATCAAATCAAAAACCAAAATCCTACAATACTCGTCCATCTTCCGTTAAAGTAGATTATAAGGATGATTATGAATTTGAAAATGATGAACAACCAGAGATCTATAATGACATCGATGACGTAGATTATGAAGAATCTGAGCTTGAACCAAAGCGGAAGAACGTCAGAATATCTGCCACGCCCACAAAGCACCAATGTAACGAATGTGGTAAATATTTCAAAACTGGTGATTTTTTGTTATCACATGCTCGGCAACATACCGGAGAAAAACCCTTCCAGTGTGATATATGTTTTAAATGTTTCCGAGAAAGTAGTTTGCTCAATCGACATGTAAAAATTCATTCCGGTAAAAAGTTCTCATGTGAAGTATGTGGAAAAGATTTCTCGGAAAATAGTTATCTGAAACTTCATATGAGTTCCCATTCTGGCGACCGTCCTTTCACATGTCAAAACTGCGGTAAGTCTTTCTTGAAGAAAAGTCATCTGAAATCTCATGCTTCTGTTCACATGGAAAGAGATTTCAAGTGCAAAATTTGCGGTAAGGGTTTTACAAATGAACGGGCAGTACAACGACATACAAAAACTCACTCTACTTTTAAAGAATTTCTGTGCAGTTTTCCAGATTGTGGAAAATCATATGTAGATAACTCAGCCTTACAAATTCATCTCCGAAAACATACAGGAGAAAGGCCTTACGTCTGTAATGTTTGCGATAAAGCGTTTATGGTTAGCAGCCATCTTTCTGCACATCATAAAATTCATACACAAGAGTATAAAAATACCGAAAGAAAATATATTTGTGACATTTGTGACAAGCGTTTTCTGTCCAGCAGCCATTTAACACAACATCGTAGAATTCATACAGGGGAGAAGCCATACATGTGTCAGGATTGTGGCAAATGTTTCATCGAGCATTCGTCACTTAAACGTCACCTGAGGTTCCATACAGGAGAGCGCCCGTACTCGTGTGATCTTTGTGAAAAGACTTTCAGTAATGCGTCGTCTTTGACAAGTCACAAAAAATTACATACAGGCGAAAAACCTTTCGCTTGCGAAGAGTGCGGGAAGTGCTTTCCATTAAAGAGTTATTTGGCCGATCATAAGAAAACACATGACAAGTCAGTTCTTTATCAGTGTGATGTTTGCTTGAAGGCATTTACAAACAAAGCAAATCTTTACACCCACCGCCGAACAGTTCATGGAAAAAAAAACTGTCGCTGTCCAATTTGTCACAAGTCTTTTGTGTCCGATTTTTATGTAAAACGTCATATGAGTGTACACTCGGGTGATCGTCCATTTCAATGTGATGTCTGCGGCAAATCATTTGCACAACGTTTTAGTCTAAATGTCCATAGCAGAATTCACACTGGTGAAAAACCGTATAATTGTCACATGTGTCCGGAGGCGTTTGCAAATCATTGTAATTTACAACGGCACATCAGTGTCCATAATGGCCACCGACCACACCAGTGTGAAATGTGTGGGAAGCAGTTTGTTTTAAAATCTCATCTTAAATTACACGAAGCCGTTCATACAGGAATAAAACCATATAAATGTGTTTTTTGTGACAAGCGTTATGCTGACCACACTCGTGTCATTAGACATATGAAATCTGTCCACCATTCGGACATCAGGCGAGTTGAGAAATCAGACGTAGAAGACTTACAGAAGTCGGACAGTGAATCTAGCATAAATATCAAAGAAGAAAAATCGGATCACAGTTATGATGATTTCGTTAAAACTGAACCCATTGACACTGACGAATCAGAGACAGAAAAAACATGCGATGACCTGTCTGAGAATGGACAATTGGACAATTCTCAATCCGAGGATGGACAGTTAGACAATGCTCAGTCGGAGGATGAACACTTAGATGATGACCAGTTCGATAATGGACATATGGATGAACAATCTGATGATAGCCTGTTTGATGAAGAACAATCTGAAAATACATTAATTGGCAATGAACGGTTGTTATATCAAGAACAGAAAGAATCAAGGGTAATAGATAATGAACCATCAAAAACTGGATTACCAGACAATGGACAGTCCGAAACTGGACAAATATATATTGAACAATCTGAACCAATTGTAGATGATGCACAGCCAGGGACTGAATTAATAAATGATGTACAATCTGAGACTGGATCTGTTGATGGTGAAACATCAGAAACTGAAGAACTAATCAACAATGAAATATCATACGCAGACAATTCAGTTAATACATGTAGTTCCGTACATAGAGAGACAGAATTTTCTGTACTAGGTGAGGACACAGTAGATAACGATTTGGCAATACTTCAGTTGCACGTAGATGTTGACTCAAAAAACAATGAACAATATCTACATGTGTCGGAATCCAGTACAGACTTATTAACCCCAGAGTTAATAGATACTGACATGGATTAATATTTCGTAACACAGATTTAATTTTAAAAATAAAGCATGTTGTGCTCTAAGTGTGATATGCTTATTTTTATTCTAGTTTACCTGGTAACACATTTGTTTGAGATATATATCTATATTGCTAACTATTTCCGCTGTAATCTTATTTACAGTCAAAAATTGTTCTGAAATAAAAATTTGTTACTGTTACTGAACTGTAAGGCCTTCAATACATAGATAATAGAGAGATATTTTTTCCTACCATTATTGAGAAGCTACATTCCGTTAAAGTTAATTTTTGTATCCATTTAGAATATCTCAATTCCAGGCCATAATTTACAGACTTTAATTTGATTGTATCAAGAGGCTGATTGAATTGGATGCTTTGCATACATCTAAAATTGTTATGGCAGTTTCTTTTGGTGTCTACGATGACATAATGTATACCGAGATGCCTCATTTCCAAATAACATTTTAGATTTAGATATCTTGATGCCTAATGATTTAGACTTTTTGAAACGTAAGGGTGGAACTTTATCAGATTTAGTCAAATAGAATTTACCTCCTGTTGTCGAACTTGTGTCCATTTAAAGTAAAAGAAATAATACATTTCTCAAGGTATTTTCTAGTCCGCATAAATCAAAATGTAATAATTGAAGTCAGTAATTTTAGTGTAAACCTGTTATTGTATTTGTATACTAATGTCTGTATAGTTTATATTTGTTTAAGTATAATGACATTTGTATAGTTTATATTTGTATTGTTGTATTGCTGTTTAAAGCCATGACAAGGCAAGTTGTTCATATTGAACTCCAAATCCAGAATATATATTATTTTATTGTAAATGTAAAGATGGTTGTTGTTATACAATGTTGACTGTATGTGTTTAAAGTAACAATGCACCATTGGCCGTTGTTTGTAAAATATCAATATTTTTCTTGGCTTAATCCAAGTTAATATGTACTCAGATTGATTATTTAACATTTAATTAAAAAAACAAAATCAAAATACAAATTCAATTGGATTTATAACAGGCCTGTCATTAAGTTTTTGTGGACAACAATTCATTGTAATCCGGTTTTAATCTTGTGTATTTAGCACTAATTTCTTTTCCATTCATTCAATATCAAATCCTTGTTTAAACATTCGTAAAAATCGTTTAAAATTACTAAAAATCATCTAATTTGTACTTGTGTACCGTTTAAAGCTGACCATTCAATTTTGATAATGAGTGTCCAATTTACAATTGTTTAATTTCTCGATCACTGTTAAAAAATAAAGAACCCAATTGATTATTGATGTCTTATGATTAATTTTTGAACAGTGGTCAGGAAATGAAATACTTGTAAATTGGACACTTATTGTCAAAATTAATCAGTCAGGTTTAAAAACTGGACAAAGTACAAATTAGATGATTTTGGGTGATTTTAAATGATTTTTTACTAATTTTTAAACAAAAATGTGATATTAAACGAATGTGAAAGATATTAGTGCTAGATACACCAGATCAAATGATGCCGGGGTAACGGCCCGGTTACAGCACAATATGGCAACAAACTTATTGCATATCTTTGTAAATACTAAATGGAATTGAATCATTTTGGGACTGATATTACTATTAGAGATTCATCTTTAACAGTATTGTAGTTTGCAAGTGATTCCTATTGCTTAAAATGGTGCAGCAGGACTTTAATGTTAAATTATTATTATTATTATTATTATTATTGTTCGATTTATATAGCGCTTCATTACACGTGAAGTGTTTCTAAGCGCATATCACAAACATATACTTCAAACACACAGAAACAATCAAAAGGCTACATCACCACAATGGCTGTTATCGTTTAGTCTTTTGAATGTTAAAGCAGCATTATGTAAGACTAGATAAAGAGCTGACAGTTCTTGTTGTAATAGTTAAAAATAGATAATGAAAAGAGAATATTTTGAAAATTTCAGTCAAATTACTTCACTCTCACTGAGTCAGGGAATCGGTGATATAATTATAGGCTAGCCTTGATTGTCATTAATACTGTTGTTACGATAATAAACAAAGTCTCGATTCCATTTATTACGGTAACCGCATCCACCACAAAACATATAGGAATCCACTAAATATTGCAGGAATCTAATGGCATCGAGAGTTGGTTATGGTCTTGGTAAGTTAATTAATGTCTTAATTGATAATCTAGATAACATTTCAGGCCTGAAGAAAGACCTGCAATAGGCAGATTTAGCTCTTGCATTATGTGTGTGACTTAGTTGTAGTTTACGTCAGCTTCCACCAAGGTGATATCGCAGACAACTTGCGTTATGCATGTTTAATTGAATTAATATGAAATAAATTCTTTACTGAACAAATAAACCTTTCAACTGTTTTAATTACATGTATTTAGATGAGAACTATTTCCAGTCAATTTCATATTGTTACTATTGATAAATGTTTACAATCAAATCAGGGTACATGTAACTCTTAATAAGATTTTCTATTTTAAATCTACTACATACCAGTACATACAAGGATTTATTTTAGACAATTATATTTAAGATTCAGTTTTGTTAAATGTATATTGCACATTTAGAGCCCATCAAACACAAAGGATTTATGCTGTCACTTTTACCAGAAAACAATTTTCATATTCCATTTCACTATTTAAAACCAGAATTTGATAATTTCTTCAATTTACTAAAAATGAATTTGATATACATGATTTAAATTTCTAAAATTAATTAAAATATATTTGATAATATACACTATCAATTAAATTTCTAAAATTAGTGAAACTGAAATGCCACCAGCAAATTAAATTTGGATGGAATTACTTCAGTGGTTCAGAATGGAATTTGGAACTTATGAAGGGAAGAAGCTATTTGAATTGGTTACATGTTTGTATAAAAGGGTACATCAGAATGGCTATTGTCATTGAGTTTTCTTAACCACAAGATTAAAGAGTTTCCTTGGACAGATATAGGGAAGAGATAGGCAGTGAACATGTATAACCCGAAGTGAAAGTCTCCCAAAGAGTCAAAATCTGTTATAATGTAAGCAACATTGTAAGTTAATATTTGCCTATACATCTATCTTTTACTGAACAAATAAAATTGTCTGTGTATAGTAGGCCTAATTCATACTGATGGTGGATTTACAGCCCTTGGGCCTTTTGTTATGTTTGTATGCCTATTATTTTGACCAATGATATTGTAGTTTTCCTTTTATTGTATCTTGTTATGTATTGGGAATTTTATGTATAATCTAGTTATTGGAAATTTTAAAAGCTTTTTTGTTGTTGACTGTATTTAATATATGACATAAGGAAAATATGATGATGGCATCTTTAAAACAAATTAAATTGTGAAATTTTTAATTGTATGTAAATTTTGATATAATAAAGTATAATGAAATGCCTCTCTGTTTATGGTTGTGATTTTCTAAACTTGTCATATCTTTATTGAAATTCATTTGAGTGCAGTAAAATATAGAAATAGGATAGCCATGCAAAGGTTGGATATAAGCCCACACAGCAGCAATGTTTGAGCAGCTTATCCGAAAGGAAAACTTGGATGTTTTGGCAAAGGGGGGAACTGAAACAGTGATAGGTTTTGTCCTCAAAAGATCACAATGCTTCACATGAAATTTGAAAAGATTCTGTTAAAACCTGTAGCCTCTGTCACTTTCACAAGGGTTTTGGTATTTGGGGGATAACTACAGCTGGTACGGTCACAAAATGCTGAATATTGATAAGTAGTGTTCTCTCATGACCACAATGCTTTATACCAAATTAAAAAGAATCCATTAAAATTATAGCCTCTATCGTGTTCACAAAGTCTTTGGCTTTGGGGTAATAAGTTTGGTATGGAGGGTTGCGGAAGGCTGAATATCAATATGGTTCATTTCTCGTGACCCAAATGCTTCCCACCAAATTTGAAAAGCTTATGTTCAAAATTACAGCCTCTGTACCATTAACAAGGTTTTCAGAAAAGAGGGGATAACTCTTTTACAGGAAAGTCGTGGAATGTTCATCCTCTCATGACTCCAAGTGGATTGTAAAACATCTGATTTTAGTATTTGATATTTTGTCCACTTGCTGTTACTCAAAGTTGACAGATTCTATGCAGGGTGTGCTTTACCGGATATCTCTTCACATTTACTTGAAAAGATCATATAGGTAGGTATTATTTGTATTTCAATAATTATGCTGGTGATTCGGAACTCTTCACCAGAATGAGCAGGGTCAAGAAGAACACTTTCAGAAATGGAGAACACTATATCTTCCTTAAAACTGAAAAATTAAAGTTCAAATGGAGAACATCTGACGTTTGGTGGGGCGGTTGATGTTGGTTGATTGTCCTCAAAATGTCAATGTTGATTTGTGACGTATATCTAAACCCGAATATAACATTCAATTTCATCCATCAATCATTCCAATAAGGACCTCAATTTGAACATGTTACATAGAAACAGAATAACAAATTGACCTGACCATAAGGTTTGTTATGTAAAGTTTATTTGTTACACAATCTCAGTAGATCATAAGGTCCGTCATTGAGTCAAGTGGTGTGGTTTTGATTCCCAGGTTGTACGTGACAGGGAATAGGGTTGCCTGTCCAACCTTGTGGGTCCCCTGCTTTCCTTTAATCCGGAAATGACCAAGTTTATGTTAAGTAGACATTAAACCCCATTTCTCTCTCTAACCATATAGGGCCCTGATCATGTCTCTATCAGAACCAGGATTGTAGGACTTAATCCACTTCTTGAATAGATGGGATACCTGCGATCCATGAAGCAACACCTACGACCCTCCCCCACCACCAAATTACTAGAATAGTACTTCAAAGAGAGAGAGATGGGGTTTAACGTCCATTTGACACAAACTAGGTCATTTCAGTACTAACATATGGATCAATTTCATTTCAATAATTCACTTGCGCGTAGGGGTCTTGAGCAGAGGGAGGAAATCGGAGGACTCGGAGAAAACCCACGAGGTTGAACAGGCGACCCTACTCCTTATCACATACAACCGGGAAATCGAAACCGCGCCAGTTGACTCAATGACAGACTTTATGATACAGCGCACACGTGCTCACCATTCAGCTATCCAACGCCCCTAGTATTTCAAAGACAAGTACATATATATATACATCAATAAAGCACATTATTTATAGATAATCTTTATTGAGGTAATTTCATCAAATGTATAATTTAAATATGATTTAATATATAATTCTAAATAACTGATTATATCAAATATAACATCATATAGCTGATTCACTCAATATATATTTAAAGATGCTACATACATAGATACATAATAGGGTTATTGTAAACAAAGCATTGCTAAGCAACACAAAAAGCTCACTGATAGCTTTTTGAAGCAAGTTGAAAAGAGTATACAATAATTCTATAACACCAATCATAAGATAATGACGCTTCTGTTCACATGCAATATTATGTACAGGTTGTAGAATTTTAAAGTTTTAAGTTGAAAATGGGCTTTTGAAAAATATGCTAGTTTTACAGCTTGTGAATTGACCGAGGGATGTCTGAGACATTTTGGTTAAATTTTAACTCAAGCAGTCATGACTGGCTAATTATGGCCAAACTGCATTGAAAACACAGACATGTTGAACATTTACATGGTATCAAACACAGGGGCACACTAGTTTATATTATAACAGCGTTCAACTATAAGGTTAATCTTACTTTGCCAAAAACTTTGAAAAAATCCTCAAAACAAGGCTTTAGTAAAGTTAAAAGGCAGGAAAGCGGGATATAAGCTTAGAAAAAAAATTGTTTTTGAATAATGGTGACAACATTTTACTAACACATGAAACACCATATATGCACAAAAACATTGGTATTACAGAAGAAAATAACTCAAAGCTTGAAACTGATATTACATTAAAGACAATTTGTCGTTAAATAATTACACATTTATAGACTGAAATCCAATTGGATGTTCTGCTCATGGGTGCTATTATATTTTGTACACTTTAACATACACTGCCATCAAATAACAATAAAAACATCAACAAATAAAATTAAGACAAACATTCGCTTTGACAAGATCCATAATTATGATATTTTTTATTAACAAGAACATATTATTTAGCACTACTTTGCAATCTATAGGAGGAGTAAAATTGTTGAACAATGGAGGTCATAAATTAGCTACTAGAACTTTTGTTAGTGCGCTTAGGGTTCTGATTGCTCATTTAAAAAAAAAAAAAATTGTTTCACATCAATGTGACATGTAACCATCTGAATAATAAAAATGAACAAACTGTTAGATCTTTATTTTGATCAAACTGAACCCATACCACCACTATCATAAATTCAATAATAGATTGTTTCGATAGTTCTGGGCTATACAGGCCTGCTATTATACCTTCAAAGATAATAACTAATAGCCGATAAAGTTTGCTGCACGGTGAATCTTTGGGTATAATACCTTTGACATTAACTAGATAAGGCCAATAATTATCAGAAATTGTGGTAATTGTTATTCATTGCAATAATCGAAACAAAGAACATAAATTTTAAGTAGATCAGCAGATGACTTTCACTATTACAGAAGTAATTTAGGGACAGGGACAATGGCAATTAATGGCCACATTTCAAAATCAAGAGCAACAATCATTTGTAAGGGAATCTTGCCCTGTTATGTTTGGGCTATACAACAGAATATTTATATGATGTGAAAACTATGATAAATTAAAAAATTATTTTATTATAAAATCAAATTACTGGAAATATATATATATATATATATATTAAAGCCTATTTACACCATTCAAAATTAAATACTGTTACAATATATACATTTATACATAATAATGTTTCATAAACTATGATCTATAATTATAAATTACATGCGATCGACTTCATTTTATCTCAATTCGCTAAGATAAGTTTCAGTTTTTTAACGTCCTACTTTTCTACACCAACTGGCCCAATTGAAGACGGGCATATGCCATGCAGAGTGCTACGAGGGACATTTTGCCTGTGCAGCAATTAAATTCCAGCTATCCTTGTATAAGATTACTGGACCCTGATATCAATTTAAATTTGTAATTTGCACTTCCTTTAATGTTCCTGAAGCACATGAAGCTAAGCTATATTTACAAGTTTCATAGGGTAAAAGATGATTAAGATGTCACTTTCTCAAAAATAAATACAATTTACGGCATTCATTATTATCAGAATAAATAAAACCAAGTCTGGAAATTATACACCTTCCACAGACAATGTCAGACACCAATATCAGGTACAATTCCAGTGGTGCCTGTCATCTTGTCCAGCACAGAGTTGTCTTATTGCAGCCATTTTGTCGATTCCTTTACTTACATGTCTGCCACATAATGGTTCCTGACACTTTACGAAAAATTCCTAGGCCTGACAAAACAATATGATACAGAATGTAAGTACATTATATATATAATGGCTATATAAATTAAAATATGATAAACATAACAAAATTTATATACTGTACGTAACATGGCTAAATGAGAGTGTCCCCACCCCCTCCTCCTCAAAAACATGCATACATTGTACATATTTATATTATGTAAGACTAAATATATATACAACTTAAATACTGATTCAAATTACACTAAAACTGTACATTTCATCTCATAATTATACATGTAAAACCTTTATAATGATAAAAATTAATGAAAATGACCCAAATTTTGAGCAATTTCATGTCATATATCACAAACAGATTGAGGTTTGGTTCAATATATCTGGCAATAGTATAACTACTAAATGCACCATATTCTGTGCATGATTGTTGGATCATGGGTCAAAGATTGACCCCAAAATAAGCTTTTTACATACATATTGGGCAAAAGACTAACATACTTTGAGACACATTTCTATCAGTTTCACTTATACATGTACAGATGCATTTCTTATAAAATAATGTCAAATTTACTACAAAAGAGAATATCTTTCTTCTGTCGATAACCGTCCATGGACGATCTATCAATCATGTGCGGAATGTAGAATATGGTCGTACTGTACATCCATATATCTTTACCATATTAATCTTATGATCAAAATCATCCATTTCATGTTGCACTCACTGAACATTTTAGAGAGCTGAACTCTTCTAAACTGCTAATCGACTCATCTCAAACTGTTCTACAGTATTAATTCTGTAAGCCCTATTAGTCAGTGTTCAAATGGGACTAAAGGCGTATTTTTAAAATTAACTTCAGCATTTTATATGCAGATGTGGACTTTTTATTATTCCTTAAAGGAAATAAACCTCTTTGATTTAGGTTAAAATAAACTATTGAATGTGTTATATATCAATAATTAGTGATTGGGTAAGCGCTATACTATTTCTTCTGAAAGATCAAGGGCTGAACTAGCCTATTGCCAGACATGTTTCTGGCTTCAAATGTTATAGTAATTATTATTTAAACATTTATTTACATGACAAGTCCATAATAAACTCTCTAGATCATCGGATGGCTTAGACATTGAGTTAATTAGACAATGTCCACCATCTCTGCATTAAACATTAATACGGCCGGAGACTGTTGATGAAAGGATGACAATGGTACTTGACAATCGAGAACATGAACTGTGAGCTGCGTTTCCATCTGCCAATTATAATTATTTTCGGTCAAAACTTCAACTTTTGTAATAAAGTAATTTGACTGAAATTTTCAATATATTCAATTACGGTATTATTATCTGTGTTTGAACTATTGTAGCAAGAACGAGCAACACTTTCTCTAAATCTTGCAGAAGTCAACTTAAAATGTGTTTCAATGAGGACAGATTTATTTTTGAACCAAATCAAAGAGGTCTTGTCATTTTTAAACAAAAACCATTAGAAATTTGTAATGACAGGCAGAGGGCCATAGAGGTCAGGATGGACGCGTAATCTGTGATTCTTCAGAGATGTTTGTTGACTGTAGGTCTCACCACAAAGTTCACATGTGTACGGTTTGAAGCCTGTATGAACCCGCAAATGACATCGCAATCCACTGCTGTCACCGAATGTTTTGCCGCACTCTTTACACAAAAATGGCCTCTCTCCGGTATGAGTTCTGATATGGCGATTTAAAGCTCCTTTGTGAATGAATGTTTTCCCACATTCTGTGCAAATAAAGTCTTTTTCATTTAAATGAACGGCTGCAATGTGTCGCTGCAAATCATACTTCACCCAAAATTTCTGTCCACAGTCGGTACAAGCAAACGATTTTTCTTGTCTCTTTTTACCATCATCAAATGGCATGTCTTTGTAATGTGTTCGTTCGTGCCGCGTCACTGATGCACTCTGGGAAAAGCGACGTAAGCAAATATCACATTGGAATGGTTTGATCCCTGCATGTATTTTCTTATGCTCACGTAAATTGTTTGTTGACAGAAACATCTTATCGCATTGGTCACATTTGTAGCGTTTGTCCTTCATGCCATCTATGTGTGATTTAATATGGTACCGCAATGAGGCTGGATGGGCAAAGCTTTTTCCACAGGTTTCACAACCAAAAGGCTTTTCGTCTGAATGAACTCGTAGATGATCACGGAGCTGGGAATTTGTGGGGAAACTTTTTCCACACTCTTCACAAGAGAAGGGTTTTTCACCAGTATGCGTTTTTTTATGTCGAGCCAGAGTCGATTTTTGAGCAAACGAATCACCGCATTCTGTGCACATGAAAGGTTTTTCCCCGCTATGAGTTCTCAGATGTTTGGAGAATGTACAGTTGTCTTTAAAGGTCCTACTACAGTCTGGACAATGCAGAACTTGTCGGCTAGTCACCACTTTTGTTTCTTTAACTTCATTGTGTGTGTCGACGTGCTGTTCTAAACTTTCTTCGTCAGGAAATCCACTGCCACATACACCGCACACATAAGGTGTTACACTGACGGCTGGATTATGTATCTTTAACATGGTGCCTGCCTGTACTCACCAGTTACTCTAAACCTGTGAATGAGATAAAACCAACAATAAGATGAATGGATGTAAACAGCTCATTAAAACTGTACTTACAATGGTTATGTGAATGTGCAATGTGGGGTATATTTGTTTGGACAGAGTGCTGCACTTACACATCTGGCTTGACATCCAAATGACATAGGTGCTTTAACTTGCAGGACAATAAATTTCCATTTTAATACAAGATGTGTCAACTACTACAACGTACCGTACATGCAAATGATACATTTTGGGGGATGAAAGTTTAAATATATTCCAAGTATGTAGATTAATATAGAATTTAACACAAATATATGTACAATCGAAAATACTTTATAACTAAATCAAACAATTCTAACTAAAGTTACAGCCATTTAAAACTGGTATCTATTGATTTGACACTGTCATCTTTATGCGACATGAAAACAAAGTATTAATAATAATATCTGATACCGGCATCTCTATTTTTTGGTACAAGCCATCCCATTGTTAAAGCGTGCGCGTTGCATCATAAGGACTGTCATTGAGTGAAGTGGCATTGAGTGAAGTGACATGGATTTGATTCCTGGCTTGTATGTGACAACGTCGAGTAGGGTCGCCTGTCCAACCTTGTGGGTTTTCTCTGGATCCTTCAGTTTCCTTCCACTGCTAAAGACCCCTGTGCGTAAGAGAATTAATGAAATAAAATTGAACCTTATATTAGTCCGGAAATGAACTAGTTTGTGTCAAGTGGAGACTAAACCCCATTTCTCTCTCTATACCGGTAGGTAAATTAGATGTCAGAGAAAACCACATTTTAACTTTTAATTTACAAAAGTCTTCTTACAATTTTTTTTTTAGTAGTTTTCAAAGTGTTTAATGAGACATTATGGAAGATTAGATAAAGAGCTGGCAGTTCTCACTATAATAGTTAAAAACTAGATAATGTACATGTACATGTAAAGGGAATATCCTGAGAATTTCAGTCAAATTGCTTCACTCTAAGCTGTGAAAACCTTATTTTAAAATGACTGTAGCCTTGATTGTCATTGTTACCGCTGTCACGATAATTAACATAGTCCCGAGTATCCATATTTGCAGTTAATCATCAATGGGCGTTGAACTGCAGATTGGATTTAAATCCAATGAAAATCGGACACATTCATTCACATAAGGTGGCACCGAGAGATGATTATGGTCTTTTCATGTTAATAAATGTCTATTTAACATTTCAGGTCTAAAGAAAGACCTGCAATAGGCAGATTTAGCTCTTGCATAATGCATGTTTAAGTCAATGCACACAATAAATACCAGTAGGCCCATATCTGGATTTCAATAGCCGGAATCTATAGGGCCTAGGCCTATTATGTATTTTAAGTTAGTCTGATAATTTGAATAATTTTAATAATCAAATACATTTATTTTGTACCTTCTCCTTGCCAATCAACCTAGGAAGAGCTGGTGAAATATGATATAAATGATCGCATGCTCTATATCGTAAAATATGAAATGTGCATGTTCATTCGAAATGAAGATTGAACTGACGTCAAGAACAAACAAGCATTAACTCGAATAAACGAAACTACTATACTACTATTTCGATGAAAACAACAAAGGTATGATAAACCGTATGCCAGAATAACAGATCTGAAAGAAAATTTACAACATTATTTAAAATGTCAACCTGGCACCGCTGTATGAATGATAAAATTCTACTTTTCCATGAATACCATCAAAATGTATACAAGACTGCCATTTACGGAAACAGATCAGTACAAGGGGAATAACTCTCGTTTGTAAAATGTATGCACGGCACGTTTAAAATTAAGTTTTTACTGGATTAGATCAGAGCATGGACAAGGTCCATGGATCAGAGAGAGAGAGAGAGAGAGAGAGATGGGTTTAACGTCCACTAGACACAAACTAGGTCATTTCGGCACTAATGGTTCAATTTTATTTCAATGAATCTTTGCGCGTACGGGTCTTTAGGATTGGGAGGAACCGGAGGACCCGCAGAAAACCCACGAGGTTGGACAGGCGACCCTACTCCTTGTCACATACAACCGGGGAATCGAAGCCACGCCAGTTGACTGAATGACAGACCTTGTAATACAACGCGCGCACGCGCTAACCCAGTGATTCTCAACCAGAAAGTTCTCACTGAGGTCAGCTATTTGACTAATGAAATTTAAAACACTGCAAAAAAGAAATTAAGTTCATAGCTATGTTTTTCTTTATTTAGTTTGACTCATTCTATGTGTCTATGATAGTCTGTGTTTACGGTTGTATGCCGTCTATGACTTGCCATGTTTTTATTTTGCAAAATTCAAATATCTTCCATATACATCCAGGTACGCCGCTATTTTGACATGTGTTCCAAGGTGTGCCGTTGGCAAAAAAATGTTGAGAATCACTGCGCTAACCATTCGGCCATTCATCCAGCCTAGATCACACGAGTGGAGCGGTTGGTCTAATCCAATTTCACCTTTGATTTTGATACAAATACTAACTGTTAACATGGCAATTTCCTGGAATATTTGAAATGTGCGGAATGAATTATTATTTTTTCTTGTTAAATGCATAGAGGAGAGCATTGCATTGTGGAGATGACTTTATTTTTAGTGAAATGATCAGAAATCCTGCAGAGAATCATACCATGTACTCAATTAAAGCCAGTCCTATGTACGATTGAAAACATTGCAAATCATTGCCCCGTTCGTGGGGTACACATTGAGGTCGCCATCAAGTAGGGTTGTTTTTTTAAAGTATGCAGTATTGACATTGAAACTGCAAAAACTAAACATCTAGTTCAAAATATGTATTTGTTTTAAGACTTGAACAGAGATACACACCTGAAAATTTCATCAAACAGTTGTTCATTAGATACAAAATTTTTAAACTGGAGAAAAAAAAAATCCATTATGCAAACAATTATCAAAACTTGTGAATCAATAAGGATACGTAACTTTGGACCACATGCCTAAAAAATGCTCAAATTAAAAAATAAAAATGTGTACCTTATGTTATCAAACGAGGCGGGGGAGGGGGTTTAACGCATGCGATTGAAATCAAAAGGTCTGTCACTGAGCCAAGCAGAGGCGTGCTGGGCGAGTAGGTTGCCTACCATGTCCTCAAAAATGCAAACACAAAAGAGATTGGAAATGGTCCATAACGCTCGAATCCGACGAGATTTCCTACCAGTGTATAGGTGTGTGTGTGTGGCTATGTGATGTGCCCTCTCTTCTGAAAAAGTGCCCTCGAATTTCGAAAGAGTTACCTAAAATACTCACGGAAATGTCCACGTCAATGTCATCATATTCTCATTGCCCCAATGACAACATTGTGCCCCCTTTTCCTTCTGCCCTTCCCTTGTTCCAACCAAATCGAGAGATACTAAAAACCAATCGCGCTCAGCGTACGTACATGCACCATCGATCAATCCTCCTTATTTTGTTGTCTCTCAGCCTCAGTGTGACAGAAAACCAGTTAAGGCTGCTGGTGATCCACTCGGGGATCAACTGATTGTGGCTGGTATCCAATGTTCTATGATTTTGGTTTCGATTTTAAAAAACTTTGCAGTTTGAAACCATTTATAATCACAATTCCGCATTTAGCCCCGCACAGGGCTCACACTGCAGGCTTTCAATTTTATTCTGCCAAAATGGATGATAATTTTTATTTATTTTCGCACACGGCCGTATCGAACAATATATGTTCAGTATTTACACATCAATTCTCATCCAAGGATTGTCAATTTTCTTTAAATTTATGTTTTGCATGTCCTATTGTTATTTTCAGATACTGAATCTCTGCTAGAATGATGGACATTTCGATTTCATTTGTTAGAGATGTTTACAATCAGACTCGTCGTTCGCTTTAGCGCATTTTGGACCACGTTCTAAAATTGTATGGCGGTCTGGGTAGATCTGGGCCCTCGGACCAACTTGTTTTGTTGGGGCCCTATCGCAGTGAAGAATTTGTTAAATGATGAGTTTGATTCACTATTTCCATACATCACCCATAGCCCATTGTCATCCTCCGACTGAAGCCATTGACTGATTGTGGCTGATATCCAATTTTACACCGGTGCCACGGTCGGTATCTAAATCTAGAGCGTATTCTCGTTCATTAGCGAACAAAATTAATATGAAATTTGGCAGGCAGGGGCATTGAGAGGGGACAGCGGGGACACTTGTCCAGGGACCCGGAGCCCAAAGGTATGTTTTTTTTTTTTTAAAAAATGTTGGTATAAATTAATAAGAAAAAACCCCCACTCGATCGTAAAGTAGACGAAAACCGGTGACTTTTCTGAATGTGGGTACCTAGTGACATGGGTAGGATTAAAAGCGGATTCTGTCAGTCCCTTTTTTGAGAAAAATTGGTGAATTAACAACTACAAGCCAACTGCCCGGGCCTTCGCGCCGTGGGACCCCGGCCCGTCCTTGTTCCGTTTGAGGCTCTCGTCACCGTCAGGGTATCCGAGGCCCTAAATTTGGTCTGCCTACCCTCTGGAGTCAAGTTACATAGCTTTAATCCCCCCCCTCTCTCTCTATCCCTCTCTGTTTCCCTGTCTCTCTGTGTGTCTCTCTCTCCCTCATGCAATAATAGGCATGCAATAATAATAATACATCAAAATATCTGACAACACGAAGAAATAAACAAAGAATGCATGTACGATTTGTTACTCGGCTACTGTTCATCTAAAAGATCCTTTACGATTAAAATTAAAATCTGCTTCCCAATGTTGGACACTTACAAAAATAGCACAACACGCAGCCTGCAAATATGATATCATGAGAGAAACAGAATATACCAAACCACTATGTAACCCTGTGGCATTTAAAGCGATCGACTCTCTTTCCAATTAAGATATATTTTTTACATTTTTATCTTATGGTTTGTATGCTTAAACGCAGTTTTATTGAGATACTGCTCCTTTAATGTCAACATATTCAGGAAGTAGGAAAGGGGAAGCATTCTATTTTTCAAACAATTATTTTACAATGAAACAGTACGTTGATAGTGAAGTGTGTTTTATAGACAATATCCAAATGTACTGCCATGTTATGAACATTAATATCAAGAAAGTGTAATCATATTCAGAGAATTATTTTATATAAGATGATTTTAAGAATATATATCATTTTACTGGTTGGTCAGAGTTTACATCAAGTTATATCTGGTAAGTCATTTTTCTGTAAGCAAATATCAAATCAAGTCAAGCGAATGGAACCAAGGGTTGTAAGTGTCCACAGCGCTGTAGGCCTACAGACCCGGGCCTGTAATGATACAGACGTCACTTAAAATGAGAAAGAAAAAAAGATGTACAAGAAAGGCGTAATAGAAATAATGTGAACGATCTTCATGGTGTTCTTCTCATGAATATCTGAAATAACCCAAAATTACAACCATTTTGTCTAAGGCAGTTAATGGATTCAAGTGTTGTAAGTGCCCATTGCGCTGTAGGCCTACAGACCCGGGCCTGTAATGATCTAGACGTCACTTAAAATGAGAAAGAAAAAAAAAATAATGATTTACAAGAAAGACGTAATAGAAATAATGTGATTGATCTTAACGTACAACCATGTTGTCTAAGACAGTTAATGTTCTGTCTTGTGTTGGGTCACCGCAATGAAGATGATATTGTGTTAATTTTAAACTACACCCAAACTTTCTTATTGCTTGTGGGGGTTGATTAACTTAAAGTTAATTGTCGAAAATCCAAACAGAGACCCAATCAGGCAAAATATTTGAAAATGTATATCCCAGTACTGAAGGTGGGGTAAAAGTTAATGCCAGATGTGTCAAACATGCTGACCGCGGGCCAGTTCTGGCCCGCCAAATGTTTAAATGGTGCCCGTGGAACAAATTTCAACAAACTGACGTGTCGATAATTCTTTGGGCTGCATTCCTGATTGTTTTCAAATTTGAGTGAAGTCTGTGTCACTACAGGCCCGGGACTGAATTGTTTGTTTATTTGTGGTTTCTGAGTTTGATGTCTGGTCCATGTATTTGTTTCTGTGCAAATTATGTGTGGTGCAGTCCCCATGCACTTAGTATTAGAAACTAGCGGTGGAAATCATTTATTATTGTTTTCCGGTTTCAGTAAAACTCTTACTTCTGTACTGTATGTCAAAGATATCTAAGTTGTATGTAATACAAAAGAACGTTGTGTTCAATATTATATCCTAGCAAATATTACTCGGCCCACTTGATGTAAAATTTTAGTTTATGTGGCCCATGAATCGAAATAAGTTTGACACCCCTGCTTTATGTCACGTCAAGTCAAAGTGGATCGAGACGACGTTCGCCATATAATACTAGAGAGGGGGTCCCGAAAATTAGGTGCACAATATTAATCCATATTAAACAGTGCGGATTAATGTCCGCAATCACACATTATTACAGGCAAAAAGGATATAGATCCCTTCACACCCATATATAACACCCACGAGATCGAAAACCAATATTATGATATTTCGATTTATCCAAAATTGTTTAGTTATTTGCCTGTTTATTGTAGATCAGCTTATTCTAGGAGTCTCACCAGATGAAGAAAGATGTAACTATTTGATTCTCACCTGTTTAAGTTCACGTGGTTTTAGACGAACCAATGTGGAGATTATATCATGGTTTAGAAATGATAGTTGGTTTGGGAATACTAACTTAAAGACTCACTGTGTTTACGATACCTGGATGACTATGAATAACTATGAATGTAAATCTACACAACATGAAATAGTTATTAAATCTGTAGAGAAAGAAATTGGTACAGAATGGAAATGTCAAGAATATGCGACCCAACGAAGCTTTGCAACGTCAAGAATTACATCTGAATCGGTTAAAACTGGTAGGTTATGTCATGTTTTAAATACTGTATATATAATATATAAATTGATAATTATGTATCTATCTACACCTAATTTATGGTCATAATCGGCGTCTACATTTCTCCAATAGCTACCTTCGCTGCCAAGTAGTTACTGAAAGCCCTTGTTTATAATTTGACGGGGAAAAATGTAGTATGTTCAGAACAAATGAATCCTACCCTACGACAATTTATTTTTCTGTTAGCAATAGAAAACAAAACTCGATAAACTTCTCGTCAAGTTTTGTATATGAAATATATCTCTTGATTAAGATTATATCTTCTGGTCAATGGTTATTTAAATATGCTGATTGCTCACGTTAACACTTGTATGCTAAAGAAAATATTCTCTTGTCTTTCAGCTTATCAAGAAATTGAACTCCTATCTAACTCTCAGAATATTACTGTAAATTCTGGTGAACCAGTGCAACTAGCCTCGAAATTTCGGCTATACGGCCATTACAATAACATTACCTGTGTCAGACGGTTATTTTGGTCAATGACAGCAGAAAGACATGCCGGTAGTACATATAATATTACAGATAAAGTACTAACCGTTACACAACATATAGATGTGGTAACAGAAAGAGATTTTGGGCTCTACTATTGTCAAGTTTGTAGTAAATGTGTCTGTCGTACCTCTCAACAAATTGGATTGATAGTTAAACCATTTATTGCCACAGGTAAGTTGAAAGATACATTTGAAATATTTATGAACCTGGCCTGCTTACCCGTTGGTTAGTCGTAGCCCTGTGTTACGATTTATAAAATGAATAAAATTAAACAAAACCTATGTAAATGATGATACGATGGTTAACAGAATTGTTATAATCCTCCGATTTCTGAATTCCGGAATGGTATCAAATTGCATTTTGTATTTGTTTTATAGCCAGCACCACCACCATCACCTCGAATGTTATAGAAGAATCGTCTGAGGGTTCTGTGGGAATCAGCACCATAGCTGTGATTAGTATCACCACCCCTTCCTCAAATATTTCAGAAGAATCTTCAGATGGTTCTGTGGGAATGAGCACTACAGTTATAGTTGGTGTTGCTTGTGGTGGAACAGCTGTCTTGATAGTACTCATACTACTTGTGGTTCTGGTAGTCAAACGGAACAGAACACATACCCAGGAGAAGAAAATGGCGGGTAATTAATTACTCCTAATAATTTTATACGCCCACATTTACCATTTTATTGTCTCAAACTTCGCCCGGGGTCCTTCGCCTATAGTTCGTGTGGCATCTTAAGGGGCCATCGTTGATATTTGATTTCTATAATAGATCCCAGATAATTTCAATTTAGGAATTAAAATAAGAAAATTTCATATATGCCTACTGGTAATACATATTGTCAGAACTACTACACATGAATTTCAACTTATCAACCCATAAGTTGCTGTGTGATTTAATTTGTAAACAAAAGAAAAGGATATGCCACACTGTAAATATTTGTACTTTTACTTGTATTAATGTTTAACCTGTAAATGACGAGAAAAGGCTTCATTATAAGAAAACTTGTATTTGTTTTGAGATCTTGAGTCAGAATGATATACAGTTTAGTTTTTATACGCCCACATTTTCATGTGGACGTATATTGTCGTCGCCCCCGTCCGTCCGTCCGTCCACAATTGTTTGTGAACAGTCTACAGGTCACAATTTTTATCCGATTTCAATGAAACTTGAAATATAGGTTTATCACCCTAAGATCTCGGTTCCTTTCGGTATTGGCATCTATCGGACCATAACTTCATGGATTATGGCCCCTGATTGTATGAAAAATCACGTTTTTGGCTTGTGAACACTGTAGAGGTCACAATTTTTATCCGATTTTGTTGAAACTTAAAATGTAAGTTTATAACCCAAAGATCTCGGTTCCTTTCGATATTCGCGCATATCGGACCGTAACTTCCTGAATTATGGCCCCTGATTGTACGCAAAAACGCGTTCTTTGGCTTGTGGACCCTATAGAGGTCATAATTTTTATCCGATTCAAAAACCCGTATTATTATATCACCGTTAAACCCTAAGGTCGGTTGAGTTCGAATTTCGTGAAAATCGGCCCAAAACTGACAGACAAAATGGCCGCCGTTCGTTCTCAAATAACGTAAAAATATGGTATATCGAGGATGTGGACCCTATAGAGGTCACAATTTTTATCCGATTTTGCTTAAACTTGAAATGTAAGTTTATAACCCAAAGATCTCGGTTCCTGTCGATATTCGCACATATCGGACCGTAACTTCCTGAATTATGGCCCCTGATTGTACGCAAAAACGCGTTTTTTGGCTTGTGGACCCTATAGAGGTCATAATTTTTATCCGATTTAAAAAACCGTATTATTATCTCACCGTTAAACCCTAAGGACGGTTGAGTTCGAATTTCGTGAAAATCGGCCCAAAACTGACAAAATGGCCGCCTTTCGTTCTCAAATAACGTAAAAATATGGTATATCAAGGTCGTGGACCCTATAGAGGTCACAATTTTTATCCGATTTTGCTGAAACTTGAAAAGTAAGTTTATAACACAAAGATCTCGGTTCCTTTCGATATTCGCGCATATCGGACCGTAACTTCATGAATTATGGCCCCTGGTTTTACGCAAAAACGCGTTTTTTGGCTTGTAGACCCTATAGAGGTCATAATTTTTATCTGATTTAAAAAACCGTATTATTATATCACCGTTAAACCCTAAGGACGGTTGAGTTAGAATTTCGTGAAAATCGGCCCAAAACTGACAGACAAAATGGCCGCCGTTCGTTCTCAAATAACGTAAAAATATTTACGTCATTATTTACAAGTATATGTTACAACATTTATTTATATTGTGCTTTATAAACACAGATCTAAGTACATAAAACCATCAATGAGGAATCAGTATGGAGGGTGTCTTAAAAAGATATTTCCATTTATTTATGTATAATTCCGGAGATATCTCAATCGCCAATTTTGCGTGTTCTACTAAAAAGCTTTCATACTTATTAATATTCAGTATTTCGTTTCGTAGTTTAGCCCGATATATATAGAACTTAGTTAAAATAATTACATGATTAATGAAGATCCATTCAGTATTATTTATATAATCTGGTTTGTTAGTTAAACCAAGATGTTTGATATGTGTTTTTATATCTATATTTATATTGCTGCGATCTAAAATGGTATGAAAATGATTCCATATTATTTGTGAAAATGGGCAGAAAACAAAGAGATGTTCTACATTTTCTATATTAGATTCACAGAAAGTACAGAGTGTGTTATCAACTTTTCTAGTTTTGAATAATTTATCATTTGTGAATATAATCCTATGGAGATATTTGTATTCAAAGCTTCTCAGTTTTGTACTAAGACATACAGTGTTTATTATTTTAAATGTGTTTTCTACGTCTAGATCGCTTAACTCGGTATTTAGAATGTATTCCCATTCTGCAATGGCTTTTGGCCTGCTGAACTTTGCTTTTATCCGGCTATCATAAATATCTTTTGAATCCACGTTGTGAAAACCGGTATTATATATTTTGTAAAAATTAGTAATTTTATCTTCCAAAGGAGTTATATTACAATTAAAATTGGTATGTATCGCACTTTCAAATTCGTTCGGTTCCTATACATACCTCAAAATACATTTTTCTTTTCCATTTAAGATAAATTGATGTTTTTCTAAATATTGAGCATCGATCTTATTTATTTTATCAAAATATTCACTAACATACCAAATATTCTTGTTAAAAAAAACTTTTAAAAATATAATTTTATTATTAATCTTTATATTTGTATTATTCCAAATAATTTGATTTTTAGCTTGGACAATGTTCTTTATATGTGTTGTGTAAATTTTATACCAGTTGGCATAAAGGTTTTTATAAAAAGGAATGTTTAAATTTAGCTTTTCTGGAAAGTTGCAAGCAGGTAATAAATTTCCACCATATTCAGCCATAATGAATTCATATGGTATGAGCCATGTTTGAAAGGGTTACTGGTATATTTTTTTAATCCAAAAAATGCTATTACATATTAGGAATTCTTTTAAGTCAATCATTTTTAGTGCGCAATTTTTATTGTTCTGAATAAGAATATCTCGCTTTATTCTATCAGGTCCGTTCCATATAAATTTGTAAAAGATTGAATTTAGTTTTTGAATAGTAGAGTCCGACACTGGATTAACAGTTGCCGGGTAAAGAATTTTTGAAATACAAAATGTTTTAATTATTTGTATTTTTCCAATTAAAGATAATTTATGTTTATCCCATATTTTTAATATTTGTTCTATTTCATTTATTTTATTTGTAAAATTTAACTCATCGGTAATATGAGTGTCTTTTGAAAAATGTATCCCGAGAATTTTTATGACTTTTTCGCATAAAACTATACCGGTTGATTTTAATTCTTGCATTAAATTCATATACCAGCTGTTTAAATCTATAGCCTCTGTTTTATTAACGTTAATTATAAGCCCTGAGACTAAACCAAAAAGTCTCAGTATCTCAAACAAATGACGCGCAGAGCTAAAATCATTTAATAATGCCGTTATATCGTCAGCAAAAGCTACAACTTTTATGGATTTACGTCCAAATTTTATTCCATTTATATTTACATCGTCTCTAATAGCGTATAGTAACAGTTCTATGATTAAATTAAAAAGATTGGATGACATTGGATCGCCTTGTCGAACACCCCTTTTTACATGAAAATAAGGGGTTGTAAATCCATTGTTTATTACACAACAGGTGATATTCTTGTAAAGGGGTTTTATCCATCTAATAAAATTACGCCCGAAACCGTACGATGATAAAGCTTTGATTAAAAAATCATGATTTATGCTGTCGAAGGCTTTTTGGAAATCTATAGCTAAAAGAAAGCCTATTATTCTTTTTTGTTTTGCAAGATCAAAACAATCGGAAATAATACGGGTATTTTCATGAATGTGGCGACCTGGTATAAACGCGGATTGATTAGGGTGTATTAACTGGTTCAAAAATGGTTTTAATCTGTTCGACAAAACTTTGCTCACCAACTTCATATCGACATTAACAAGCGTAATGGGCCTCCAGTTAGTTAAGCATGTTCTATCTTTATTACCTTTAGGAATGAGTTTAATGACTAATTGACGTTGTGTTACGGATAAAGATTCTTCTTCAAAGCTACAGTTATATGAGTCTAATAATAATACATAAATATCAGGCCAAAAATGTCGATAAAATTCAATTGTGATACCATCGTTTCCTGGAGATTTATTTATTTTAAACGAGTTTAAGGCCTTCTGAAGTTCGAAGTAGTCAATTTTGAATTCAAATAAATCTTTCTGATAATCATTTAGCCTTTCTACAGGCCTAAAATTTGTTATAAAATTACTTTCCCTTTCAAAACACGAGTCTCTCGACGCATATAAGTTTTTATAAAATAAGAATATTTCTCCCGATATTTCAATGGGGTCAAATATAATAGAATCGTCAGATTTTTGGAGCTTTTTTATTGTAGTAGCACACTTTCTTTCTTTTTCTAAGTTTAGAAATAATTTTGTGTTTTTTTCACCGTTTTCATACCAGTTTTGTTTGGACCTAAAAATTGCTCCTTGTGTCTCATCAATGTAAATGTTGTCTAATGATTGCTTAACCTCGGTATATTGATCATAAAGTTTTTCGATAATTTTGTTGTTACTAGGTTCCTGTTTACTGATAAGGGATTCAAGCTAGATCAGTTCCTCAGTTCAGCTATTTTTTACAGCTTTTTTTAAGTTTTTGTTTCTTTTTAGAATATTCTATAGAAAATTCCTTTATCTTAAATTTAATGAAGTCCCATAAACCATTTTTATTTTGTTTGTCAAAATATTTACTTTTCCATATCGGTATAGATGATTTTATCAATTTAGTATATGTTTTGTCTTTTGTTAACGAAGAGATAAAAATCCATAGATTTGGTCCGCGAGGATAATTAGTTATTTTGATATGTATATGAATTGATGAATGATCAGTAAAAGAAGTTGGTTATATTGTACATGATTTTATATAATCTTGGAGTTTTTCCAATATGAGCCAAAAATCAATTCGACTTTGTATCAATGGCTTCTTTTGTTTCCAAGTAAAACGCTTATTATTTTGTGTTAAAATTCTGAATATGTGTAAGAGATTATAATGATTAATTATATTGAAAATGGCATTTTGGCCTTTTCGTTTCAGTTTGTAGTTTCCGCCATATCTATCAAGTTTAACATTTAGGACACTATTAAAATCTCCGCCAATTATCATTGAGAACGAGTCAAGTTCACCACATAGCTGCTGTAAAGATTTAAGTAATCTTGTATAATAAGTGTACTGGTCACTGTCAGATATAGGACTATATGTATTGACTAAAACTAAGATATTATTATAGATACTTATTACTAAGATGTTAAAATAACCATTTTCATCAGATTGGTTTTTAATAACATTAATGTTGTTGTTACTTTTCAAGAAAATATCATTCTGTCCCCGCTGAGTTAGTTCTACCATGTGAAAACAATATGCGATCCGCCCATTCGCTTTGCCAATCGGTTTCATCGCAAACACTACTGTGAGTTTCTTGAAGGAAATTAATAGCGCATGATTGTTCATACAATTCCTCTTACATTGATGGATAGAAGTTTAATAGACGTCATTTAATATTATTTAAAAGTAAATAAGCAAATTTGAAGCTATGAATGAGATAATAGATCTGTGTGTAGGAAAGCCCTTTTTGAGAACATAATTGTAAGGAATAATAATAATAATAATACATTATTTCTCTGTGCGTTGAATACATAGAAGTGCTCTTATATCTAAGAAAATACGATAATATACTTTCAAGTTTTATATATTCCCTATACTTGCATATAAGTTTTGAATGTACATGTTTCATTTTCATTGTGCGAAATCTATATAAGGTGGTTTATCTAAGGAAGATTGCCTATAGCTCCATGTCTAGGTGTTGATGTAAACATCAATTCTTGATCTGAGTTAAGCGGTGTCCGGTGATTGGAGCGTCCTTGTAAATTTTCATCCAAGAAGGATCGTGGGTTAGGTGTGGCATTATGCGGGATATCTGTTTCACGATTATGAAATTGGTTAAGGTCTTCTTCAGATTTGATGAGGATTATCTCTTCACTAAGTAGTTTAGCATATATTCTTCCGTCAAAGGTCCAACAGTTTTTTATGATTTTCTTTTTAAAAAGTTCCCTGCAAGATTTGAAGAGAAAGGAACGCTTTCTTGTAAGAGCTTCATTGATAAATAACTTTGTCGGTTTATTTGGGTCCGAGTTTCTACTTTTTAAATTACCTTTTTTGCCATATATCAGAGCTCTGTCCCTGTAGCTTATGAAACGAACAATTATATCGCGGTTGGATCCCTGCTTTCTTTTACCAACACGATGTGTTCGGCCGATTTGGTTTTTTGATATTTTTGGTGACCCGTCATCTTTTAGAATTTCATTATTTATCACATCTAGGACGATTTTATCAGTGTCTTCTATATCATGTGTATGTGGTTCGGGTATGCCACTAAATTTGAGGCACGTACGTCTTGAATATTGCTGCATGTCATCAACTCGATTTTCGAGCAGGTGGATACGGTTGGACATGGATTCAATAATGTCCGGCTGTAAGCATGACATTAGATAACCCCTAGCTTGGTCGCGCTTCAAAAGTTCATAGATGAAAATATGGTATATCAAGGGTGTGGACCCTATAGAGGTCACAATTTTTATCCGATTTTGTTGAAACTTGAAATGTAAGTTTATAACCCAAAGATCTCGGTTCCTTTCAATATTCGCGCATATCGGACCGTAACTTCCTGAATTATGGCCCCTGATTGTACCAAAAAACACGTTTTTAGCTTGTGGACCCTATAGAGGTCATAATTTTTATCCGATTTAAAAAATCATATTATTATATCACCGTTACACCCTAAGCACGACTGAGTTCGAATTTCGTGAAAATCGGCCAAAAACTGACAGATAAAATGGCCGCCCTTCGTTCTCAAATAGCGTAAAAATATGGTATATCAAGGTTGTGGACCCTATAGAGGTTACAATTTTTATCCGATTTTGTTGAAACTTGAAATGTAAGTTTATAACCCAAAGATCTTGGTTCCTTTCGATATTCGCGCATATCGGACCGTAACTTACTGAATTATGGCCCCTGATTGTACGAAAAATCTCGTTGTTAGCTTGTGGGATCTATAGAGGTCATAATTTTTTATCCGATTTAAAAAACGTATTATTATATCACCGTTACACCCTAAGGACGACTGAGTTCGAATTTCGTGAAAATCGGCCCCAAACTGACAGACAAAATGGCCGCCCTTCGTTCTCAAATTGCGTAAAAATGTGGTATATCAAGGTTGTGGACCCTATAGAGGTCACAATTTTTATCCGATTTTGTTGAAACTTAAACTGTAAGTTTATAACTCAAAGATCTTGGTTCCTTTCGATATTTGCGCATATCAAATTGTACTTTCCTGAATTATGGCCCCTTGATTGTAGGAAAAATCACTTTCGTTTTAGCTTGTTTTCTATCCATCTCTCGAAAATGTGGGCATATCCTGCCTGGCAGCCGCTGGTTGTTCGTTATTATTATAATATAACATGTGGATCTTTAAACCTGATTTAGTTAAACTTCTACAAATACTATATATATGCCTACACTTTTAATTTATCATTTTATTTTTATATTTTAGCAATGACAGACAGGTAATAATTTTTACAGATTTTTTTTATCATAAGATTAGAGTATTTATACAGCTACATCCTTGTTAACAATATTCAAGTGTGATGGGCATCGAAACAAGCTGTTAAGTCTGATCAGCTGTTGAATGAATTTCAAGCTTTCTTGGTCTTTAAAGGCTCAATATAACCCTTGTTGTAACTGAATAATATGTCCCAATCTTTATTCTGGTCAACAAATTGTACTATTTTACAATATTCCAATTAATTGATGATACAAATTTCATCTTAATACACCCAATTTGAAAAATTGGAAAAATCCAACTAAATGATTTGAAAAGCCTAACGTAAACCTTTTCAAATGTGACTTGGATTTAAAAATATTTTCGAACCCTCTAGACAAGTAAATTGGGTATAATGGATAATTTAGACAACAGGTAGGGCACTTAAACATCTAGTACTTAGAATAAGGCTATTATTTATTTTCTGGAGCTGTCAAGCCAGCAAGAGTGTTGTTGTCCCTTTAAGCCTTTGCCGAGCAATTGTAAGCAAGGTCTTTTTAGTAAAAGCGATGCAATAACTTTGAACCACCTGCTCCGTCTGAATAAACTAAAAGCTGTGAATTTTCATGTTTTCTGAATAACTCCCATCCAATTATTTATTTGTTTTCTTGGCAGAATTCGACCAACAGGAGGATCCTCTTCTTCTGTAAATGAAGGTAAGAATTTAGCTTCAAATATTATATAAACTATTGTTTAGACATGGTTTATTCACATGACACGCCTATAATCAACTCTCTAGGTCATCGGATTGCAGGGATTTAAACGGATTAAAGACGGTCACCATTTAATGATTTAATTTTAAAATGTCGAATCGAGGCTAAATCTCTCGAATAAAAATTAACGTGGTTACGATAATAAACAATGTGTGCCGCATCTTGTCAAAACTTAAAACAGTGATAATTCGCCGAGAATAAAGTAATTTGAATGAAATTTTCAATTAATTTAGAATTATCTATAATTGATCTATTATAGCAAGAATGACCACCTCTTTATCTAAATCTTAGATAATGCATCTTTAATGGAGAATTCCATTTATTTAGCGAGAGCGGGTGTTGTATAGTCATCGATAGGACGTGAATATGCACGATAACGAATTACGCCATTGGTTAGATTGGATCAAAGCCCTATATACTATGGACGTATAACGTTGCTGAATGTCTGAATAAAGACAACGTTTCAAAATACACTTTTCAATCTTACAAAATGTCATGATGTAAAATTGACGTGACATTTAATGTGATTTCCTACAATATCTATTTCAATAATTCGCTTGCACGTGGGTGGTGGGGGACGAATGGTTAGCGCGTGCACGTTGTATCATAAGGTCTGTCATTGAGTCAACTGGCGTGGTTTCGATTTCCCGGTTGTACGTGTCAAGGGTTACGGTCGCCTGTCCAATCTCGTGGGTTTTTCCGATTCCTCTGGTTTCCTCTCACTTTTACATTAAAATTGTTATTCACTTTGACGAAAACAAATGAAAGCCAGTGTGAGACCCGATTGCACGTATTTAAATGCGACCTGGAAAATTGAGTCTACAGCAACTTCCGAAGCGAAACTCGAAAAGTCACGACAGCAAGACAAAATGATAGGTTGCTATTAGCGCGATGTGTTAATTTCCTAATTTCAACTTTTCGTGTTGCATTTTGGCTTGGTATGTGTGTTGGCGCTTTCTTACTGACATCAATAAATACAAAAATATGACGAAGTCGAATGTCGACAAGACGGTATACAAGCCAAAATGCAAGTCGAAAATTAAAATTTAGGAAAGAACGAGGGGCGCTATTATCGCCGTGTATTATTTCTTAATTTCCTATTTTCGAGCCGATCTTGGCTTGTATATAGCGTGCTGTCGCCTCACATTTTGTCAAGACTGAGACAAAGTGTGACAATAGGTGTAGCCTAACAGAGATGTATAAATATGCTTTTCATGAAAACAAAGCATTTATTTCAAAAGTTTCAAAGTAGTCCGCCACGACCCCACGAAAAGTGCTTCGCGATGCGACCCAGAGGTTGGGAGCCCAGGAAATAAACTATACATAGTAAAACATACACAAGTTAACCATCAATGTTCGTATATATAGTAGTGACGACGTTCATGTCAAGAACAGTCTATAAAGTAATGTACTGGGCTACATCGAGTATTGAGCCAAATCGTGACTCTGGAATCGGCGTTTAGCTTGAGACCAACACACTGATGTTGATATTTTTTATATCCCCTTTAGATCCCACTCGGTTCATTGAGGAATGGAACAATCCGGTGTACAACATGGACCAGTTTTCACAAAGCAATGCACCAATGGGCGCTGGCGTTACTGACAAAGACGATTCAAACTCAGGAAATGTGTACGCCAAGGTTATTAAGAAACGTCCATTTACGCCGCAACAAAACAATGACGTTTACAGTCAAGTTAATAAAATAACTAAACCAAAACAAAAAGCACAAATTAATGATATATATAGCACTGTACAGAAACACAGAAATGGTACGTATTTATATTAATCTTGTAATTTCATTCAAGATCTCAAATGACCCTAAATACGCCCGCCCCTGGCTGACATGTATAGTCATACGGTTGGGTAGTTTTTATTTTACTTTTATCTCAAAACATTTATGCTAGTGCATTTGGTCCATGAAGGATGTTCAAGAGGGGAACCAGGCAAGTGACTCCCGCTACGCGTTTCAGTCTCCTTCCCCCCAGATGGAAAAAATTAGAGTGCACTATTTTTTATCCACCCATGTTATAAATGGCAGTAGCTAAAGACCTACGCGAGAAATAGATGATACAGTAAAAATATCAACCCGAGTAACTCACTATACTGAAACAAACAGTATTTTATTTGTTTATTTGATCCAGGGGCGGATTGGGCCATCGGGCGATGATCATGTTGTATATGGCCGGTGGCTTTAACGGGCCGCCACGCCGTCACTGGAGTCTGGAATGGGCTGGTATAATAGACTTTCTGGGCCGGATGTGCTGGGTGTGGGCCGGAATTCGGAATTTTGCAATGGGGATTCCGAATTTCATCCGAAAATTTCATCGGCCAGAAACGTCTGCCAATGGTTCGTATATCCCCAAAACAATCAATTTTAAGGCCTCAGCAAAATTTGATGATAGCTGGTCTGCTGGCTGAATTTGACAGAGACTATAATCAGATATGCCACCAAATCGCATATTTGGCGTTCATTTTTCAAAATTTTCCCGCGGGAGAGCACCCGGACACTCCCCCCCCCCCGTCCGGGCTCCGCGGCCAGTAAAAGGGGCCGCTCCGACACGGGAGCCCGGGCCGGTTGCCGGCCCCAATCCGCCCCTGATTTGATCATGAACTCTAAAAGATGGCTCCTCTTTAAACACAAAAGACAGGGTATGTTTACCCTTTCCAGATCACCTGATACCAATTGCCGTTAAGAAAGGGAAAGGGTCATTCCGTGGTACGTTCATGTAGCTACAAGCTTTTCAGTTTTATACACTTTGCGAAACGGATCCCTGTTTTCGTATATTATTTACATCCATTTTAAAACAATATCAAAAAATGAATACATTAAATCTACTGTACCCATAAAAAATAAATTTAAAACTGATGTGTCGTCATTTTGTCACCTTTTATTCCAGGAAGAGATTAGTTTGTTGTCAAAGAGGCGATTGCACATACATATATCCAGTATCCCGATTAAGACCGGACCAAACAAAATAAAGATCCGATTTAAATGTATTAAATTATACTCTAGAATATTATCATATTTCTCTATCTAATTTAATATGTTTATTATAAAGTTTTAGTTTTGTGTAGATTATACCCAATTTTAGATCGATACTATTATTTGTTCAATTTGTAAATATATCTATATATATACTATTCAAAAAAAGTAGGGGATATTTGATTTTTAAGTGTTATTAAAGTCACCTAATGAAACTGACGAAGAAACAAATGGCAAAATGAAATGAAGTTCACATTCATCGATTTATTCCAAATGATCGTTAGACTAAGTAAGGCACAGACTGACCATTATAAGGGTAAAATGATACCCGGGGTCAAACAGCAAAGTTACCACAGCATCACAACCAAGTCAGTAACGGGTAAATCCTCCTCTGTTTGCCAAACAAGCATTGATCCGACGTGGCATACTCCTAATGAGACGTCTAAGGTCATTTTGGTCCAGATTGTCCCATACCTGTTGCAACGCAGCAGCAAGTTCTTGGACATTGGCAGGACGTTGTTGACGTTGACGTAACCTCTGTCCAAGCATGTCCCAGACATGCTCGATGGGGGAGAGGTCGGGACTCAGTGCTGGCCAAGGTAATGTGGTGATGTTCTGTTGTTGGAGGTAACCTGTAACGATCCTGGCCCTGTGACATCTTGCGTTGTCATCCTGGAAGATGAAACGGCGGCCATGATGTCGTGCGAACGGCACAACATGGACTGCCAAGATGTTGTCCCGGTAGTACTGGCCTGTAACACGCCCTGCAATAACATGTAAAGCCGTTCTTCCAGCAACAGTGATGCCTCCCCACACCATAACAGAACCACCCCCAAATCGATCATGTCTGATGACGTTAACGTCTTGGAAGCGCTCGTTTCGACGACGCCACACCTTATACGTCTGTCCAAAAAATCAACAGTGAACCTTGACTCATCTGAAAACATCACATTGCTCCAGCGTCGATTATCCCAGTGTTGACGATCCCTACACCAACGACGTCTTGCCTGAATGTGATGATCTCTCAAACAAGGGATCACGCGAGGACGTCGGCCGCGAAGGTGACCCCTATGCAGTCGATTCCGAATCGTCTGGCCACTCACTCTCACACCAGTGTCTGTTTGAAGACGAGCGCTGATCTGATTTGCTGTGATGACACGATTTCTCAAGGCCAAGGTACGGATAAATCGATCCTGGGCTTGAGTTGTCGCCCTTGGTCGACCTGAGCGTGGTCTGTCCTGTACAGATTGTGTATAACGGTATCTGGACCATAGCCTGCTTATGACAGACTGAGAAACATTCATCGTCCGCGCCACAACCGCCTGTGTTGTGCCGATCTGTAGCATGCCAAGGGCACGTAACCTTTCATTTTGGGTAAGCCGACGCATATCAAAATTTGTTTTCTGGTCACTAAAACAATTAAACTGATGTTTCCACCCTGGAATTCAATGCCACAATGACTGTAACATTCAAAGTCAGAGTCGTGCAAATCTTGGGTTGGACCCCCATGATGGTCCCAAGCATCACCTGCATTCCATGCGGTAGCTATTGGTGCGTTTGGGCGTCACATGTAACTGGAAATGTTTCTTCTGTTAGGTTCTATAGTGACTTTTTTCGTAGTCATTTGCATTTTTTAGTATTATACCCCCAAAATCAAATATCCCCTACTTTTTTTGAATAGTATATATACTATTCAAAAAAAGTAGGGGATATTTGATTTTTAAGTGTTATTAAAGTCACCTAATGAAACTGACGAAGAAACAAATGACAAAATGAAATGAAGTTCACATTCATCGATTTATTCCAAATGATCGTTAGACTAAGTAAGGCACAGACTGACCATTATAAGGGTAAAATGATACCCGGGGTCAAACAGCAAAGTTACCACAGCATCACAACCAAGTCAGTAACGGGTAAATCCTCCTCTGTTTGCCAAACAAGCATTGATCCGACGTGGCATACTCCTAATGAGACGTCTAAGGTCATTTTGGTCCAGATTGTCCCATTCCTGTTGCAACGCAGCAGCAAGTTCTTGGACATTGGCAGGACGTTGTTGACGTTGACGTAACCTCTGTCCAAGCATGTCCCAGACATGCTCGATGGGGGAGAGGTCGGGACTCAGTGCTGGCCAAGGTAATGTGGTTATGTTCTGTTGTTGGAGGTAACCTGTAACGATCCTGGCCCTGTGACATCTTGCGTTGTCATCCTGGAAGATGAAACGGCGGCCATGACGTCGTGCGAACGGCACAACATGGACTGCCAAGATGTTGTCCCGGTAGTACTGGCCTGTAACACGCCCTGCAACAACATGTAAAGCCGTTCTTCCAGCAACAGTGATGCCTCCCCACACCATAACAGAACCACCCCCAAATCGATCATGTCTGATGACGTTAACGTCTTGGAAGCGCTCGTTTCGACGACGCCACACCCTCCTACGTCTGTCCAAAAAATCAACAGTGAACCTTGACTCATCTGAAAACATCACATTGCTCCAGCGTCGATTATCCCAGTGCTGACGATCCCTACACCAACGACGTCTTGCCTGAATGTGATGATCTCTCAAACAAGGGATCACGCGAGGACGTCGGGCGCGAAGGTGACCCCTATGCAGTCGATTCCGAATCGTCTGGCCACTCACTCTCACACCAGTGTCTGTTTGAAGACGAGCGCTGATCTGATTTGCTGTGATGACACGATTTCTCAAGGCCAAGGTACGGATAAATCGATCCTGGGCTTGAGTTGTCGAACTTGGTCGACCTGAGCGTGGTCTGTCCTGTACAGATTGTGTATCACGGTATCTGGACCATAGCCTGCTTATGACAGACTGAGAAACATTCATCGTCCGCGCCACAACCGCCTATGTTGTGCCGATCTGTAGCATGCCAAGGGCACGTAACCTTTCATTTTGGGTAAGCCGACGCATATCAAAATTTGTTTTCTGGTCACTAAAACAATTAAACTGATGTTTCCGCCCTGGAATTCAATGCCACAATGACTGTAACATTCAAAGTCAGAGTCGTGCAAATCTTGGGTTGGACCCCCATGATGATCCCAAGCATCACCTGCATTCCATGCGGTAGCTATTGGTGCGTTTGGGCGTCACATGTAACTGGAAATGTTTCTTCTGTTAGGTTCTATAGTGACCTTTTTCGTAGTCATTTGCATATTTTAGTATTATGCCCCCAAAATCAAATATCCCCTACTTTTTTTGAATAGTATATATATATATATTAAAATGCCACGCTAGTTACTTACAATGTCACAAACCTCTACTCAAATATTACTTTTGATTTAGGATTAACAGCTATCGAATTCTTGGTAGATAAATACCCACAAGATCTCCATGAGCGTTTCCCAAAAGATTTTATATTATGTAGTTTGAAGTTCGTACTTGAAAATAACTACTTCTATTTCGATGCAAAGTTTTATAAACAGCTAGTTGGCACTGCTATGGGAATTAAAGGCGCACCATGTTACGCAACATTAGTTCTTTGCTATTTAGAATTTGAAATTGCGGATAAAGTTGAGATAGCATTTGACCATGAAACAAGAATATACTTTAAAGAACAATGGAAAGATTTCTAGATGATTTTTTTTTTTTTTTATTTGGCTCAAAAATCTAGATCAATTATCCATCTTCAGTGATATTCTAAATAGCCTCCACCCAACAATACAATTTACAGTCGAAACAAGTGACAAGAAAATATCATTTTTAGATATTATGGTGCTAAAAGCTGATGATAATAAAATAGAAACAGATAATTTTTACAAAAGTACGGACAATATTTATATTTTGACTCTTATCAGCCGAGTCATACCAAAACAGCATCGACTTACAATCTTGCAAGGAGAATCTTCACCCTCGTATCAAATCCTTTAACTTCAGGTCTCAGATTATCAGAATTACGAACCTTATTCTAAATCACCGTAAATACCCATTAACTTTAATCAATGACGGTATAAAGCGGGCGAAGGCATTTGATACTTTCGAACAGTGGTTCGTAACCTTATTTGCCAACGGCACACCTTGGAATATATGAAAAAATAGCGGCACACCTGGCAAAATATATAAGAAAAATATTTGAATTTTGCCAAATAAAAACATGCTAAGTCAGACGGAATACAACCGTAGATAGAGACTAGTCATAGACACCTAGAATGACTCAAACTAAATAAAGAAAAACACAGCTATGAACTTATCAGAAGACACCAGTAAATATTCAATTGGGATCACGTGATTTTCACATTTTCGTAATGTGCCGTACATTAATCTCCACGTACAATACTCGAAACCCTAATATGACCAATGTACTCCGAGATAACTTTGCTCTACTGAGACGTAGTGAGCGAATGAACAAAATCCTTAGTGAAACAAGTTCATTCCTTCAAAGCACCAACCACCAAGCTTAAAAAAGATGCTAACAAGAGCAAAATATGATAGTCTTGAAACCGAGTAGGCGGTAACAAAATGTGGACGAGAAAACTGTGGCATGTGCGATTACTTGATTGAAGGCAACTCTTTTAACTTTAATAATTTTCTATTTAAAAAAAATTGTAGTATGACATTCTCTGTCACTAACGTAGTATATGTAATTACATGCCTTGGGTGTAATGAATTATACATTGGACCCACAAATGAATTACGGAAACGTGTTACAGTACATAAACAGCATATAAAAGAGGAAATATACCGCAAAATCACATTAAGTGGGCATATCGCGGAGTGTGCTAAAAATAAATCGCCACATTTTCATGTTGTCTCCTTTTATAAACTGTCTGATAATAATATCACAAAATTAAGAGTTAAAGAAGAATATTTTATAAACAAATTCAAACCCAAACTTAACCAGTGATATTATTTCGTTTTAATTTATATGAAAAAATATTTCAACTATCTCTCCATAATGACGTTACAGAATGACGTAAGGTCATTATTTATTATTGCCTTGAAATCTTGAAAACCTAACGGCGAAACATGTAGGCATTTAAATACAATTTGTTTAATGGTATTTTCTACTTAATTTTTTAGAATATATAAAATGTTAAAATATTATTAAACCGGTGTTGAAATCATTTTGTGTCGGTATACCTTTTATCTTTTCATCATTTACTGTGAAACAAAGCTGTGCAGCTTTGCCGTTGTGCTATATGTATATATCT